GCCTGTGCTCTGTGTCACCTCATTAATCGTTCTCTGTCTCCGAGTCTCGTATCACGGCCCAGGTGAGAGGCTCAGCCCAGGTGAGACAAGGACCTCAGAGTCCATAAGGACAGGGTGAATGTTCCACCCGTGGCTCTGCCCTGCCTGCCCATGGTGTAGTCCGGTCTGGACCTCAGCCTGGGGTTCAGTTTATTTGGCGACTGGGGATACTTTGTACTTGTGTGCGAAGGGAAAGTCGGGCACTGTGCCTTGACTGTGTGACCTGCTGCTGAAGAGCAACAGCGGAGAGCACAGGGAAAGGGAGGAACCCGTGCCCGTGTCACCCAGGAGGTCACAGGGGTCCAGACGTCTCCTGAGGAGGCATCATATTTTTTGTCTTGCAATATTTCAGAAATAGAGAATGGAAGCAGGCTGGAGAGCTGGCCCTGCTTCTGTTGGGCCCTGCACCTGCTGTCCGTGCCAAAGTCCCTGACCTTGGTGTTTCCTCCAGTGTCCACAGGGCATGGTCCAGCTGCGGGTCTCTGTGATGCCCTATTTTGTCAGGAGCGCCAGGTGCACCTGATCCCTCTCCAGGCCTCCTCTTCCTGCCAGTAGCTGCTTCTAGGATGCAGTGCAGCTGTTGTCCCTCTCTGGTGGACACCAGCACCTGCTACACTGCAGCAGCTGTTCTGGGCACTTGGAACAGATTGATCACATTTGGGCGGTTCAGTGTCTTCATTGCAAAAGGCCATTCAGCTAGAACTCCTGTCTCCTCTCTGATCTCCACATCTTGGCTGCATCCCGTGCTAACTGGTGACAGCTCTCTGGTGCCCAATGTGGGGCCTCTTGAGCCTGCTGCAGGAGACAATGGGACCCCATAATGCCCTGAGTGCTCACAGTGTTGGACACCGTCAGCATGTGGAACCCCAAGGTGACCCTCAGTCAGCCAGTCATCCTTTTCCCTGGCTCCTCCATTGGCTTCCCTGGCTTCTGCTCGACTTGAAAAGCTCTCTGACAGCATTAGTTTAGTTCTCTCCTTGTTGGTGAATCTAGAGGTTCAAGGCATGAACAGAAAAGTGTGGTGATGTAACAGCTGAGTGGGATTCTGTTTCTAGGAATTCAACAAAGTTCTGAAAAGGAATCTTTAAGCACAGATTGCTGGATTGGTCTCAACGATGTGTTAGGTTACTGTTTGGTCTTCCAAGCCCCCTAGGAATTCATCTAGAAACATCTACCTGATCTTCATCAGCAACTGTCCATTTCTTCCCGTCACTCCCTGGGGTGCTTCCTGTTAGTGGGGACACTTCCTAATGCTGGATTTGGGTGCACAGCAATGGCACGGAGGGGATCTCCTACATGAACTCGGACCACTCTTCCTCTTCTGCTGTTGACCAACGTCACCCTTTCCTTTGTGCATCTTCCTACATTTCTTTTTGGAGCTCATTTTGCTTAATAATTCTTCAGTCTGTTTTTTCTTCAGCTCCCGCTGTTTACTAAATTTTGCTTTCGATCCTTTTGTTAGCGCACCTGCCTCATGCAAATGTTCCTGTAAAGACGACGCCTTTCCCCCAGGTTTTCTGCCTTTCCCTTCCATTCAGCCACAAGGTGTGCTGCTGTTCTAATTCAGCAGAACCTGTTTTTCCCTCTTGTTGGAAGTCTTTTAGGACTGTCTGGAGGTCAGCTGATGACTGTGGCCCGCTCCGCTGGCTCCTGAGAGACAGGAAGCTGCAGTGCACTTCCGTGCCTTCCCTTCCTGGCCGGGCCCAGCTCTCCCTGCAGAGACTCCAGCTGCACTGATCTCCTGACGAGGCTTTCCTGGGTTCAACACAAATCGATCAGAACCTGTCACCTCGCCTTCACTTTTGTCTCTGTTCATCCTGCCCTCGAACGATGCTCACCTTGCCACCCTCACACTGAGGAGCTTTCTTTTTTTACCGCTTTGCTCTTCTCTGTTTCTTGGTGCTGCCACATCCTTTCCTTTGCTGTTTGGACAGCTGACCTTTTTATGAAATCACATGCTTTGTAACTTCCTGGTTCTGTTTGCCTAATTCTTCTATCTCACCCATCAGCACTGCCTTTGCATGAGCCTTCACGTTCAAGTTCAGGCTCAAGTCATATCATCCTGCATCACAGTTCCCGTCTCTCTCAGCTGGACTTGTAATTCACACTCAGTGCACAGTTTTGTTGCCAATCAGATGAGGTTTCTTTTGCTCAACTGAGATGGGATTCGCGAAGCAGCAGAATGAAGGTTTGGCCGGAGGCTCCATCACACCCTGTGACCAGTTGACACGGCCAGCTGGTGGTCACTGCTGCTGCCAGTTGTCACCATCGGATGCCAACTTGTGTTGGACCCTATAGGTCGGCTCTAGCAGGTGCTGGGTCACTGCCACTGGTCTCCCTTAGCTGCCGTTCTAAACTGGCTGCTGGTGTCTGGAGCTCTTCAGTGTGAACAGCACAATTCATGCTGTCTGCCTGCCCTACTCAGGATCAAATCCCAAATTATTGTTCAGGACTTTTGGAGCCCACAGTAGCAGAGAAAGAAACAATGAGCAGGTTCACAGGACACCAAACAATTTTTATTAGGGTTTGGGCTACAGCACAGGCTTGTATTCCACAAGAGGAGCCCCTCCGAGTCCAAGAACCGAGGTCTTTAAAGCGCTGCTAACACAGGAGCTTGCAACCTATTGGAGTGAGGGTGTGGGCTGAAGCCATGGACTCTTCTGGAAGATGTGCTGTGCATGCAGAGGGTAAGTGGCTCAGGTCTCTTCCTGCCTGATGTGAGCAAGTCCCAGGTGCTCTCTCTTCCCGAAAAAGCAACAATATCCACTGGAGTGGGTATGGCGGGGCATTGGCCGCACATGGCCTGGCTGCCATTGGAGTGGACAATGGGGGTTTGATAGCCGGGGAGGACACTGCTAGGTAGCCAGGGAGAACTGTGACAGAAACCATCCAGCTCCGCTGGGGTGCATGGGGCACAAGGAGGAGGGGCAGACACTCCTCCTCCATCTTAGTTTTGAGAGTTATACTGAAGTTCTTGCTTTTCTTGACTTGACAATGACTTCTCTCTTTCTACGGTTTGGACAGGCAATGTGTCTCGCATTGTCTTGCGTGAGGCTGTTCTCCTCCAGGAAGGCTGACACAGCACCTCGGGTGGGAAGAAATGGTGCCGCTGCTCAGCCTCCCTGTAAAGTTTTTGTCCTCAGACATTGGTTCTTGTGGTCTGAGCATTTCTTCTTCAGAGGGACACTGTGGAAGACATCTTGCCTTCTCCAGCACAGCGTCCCTTTGACCACGGCATAAGCCTGAGATTTCCATCTCCTTCTGAGGGTTCACTTATTTGACTCTTTTCCAATATTCAGCACTTCTTCTGCCTTTCAGTGGACTCTGACACTTTGCACAGAAGATTTTTTACTTAAGGCTTCTACCCTCTACTACTTCAATTTTTTCATGGACTCTGATTTTTCGGTTTGGAGAAGCCGAATCATTTTCTGCATCTCACATATTTTAGAGTTCTCGGTTACCCTAACTCTTGGTTACTCTAACTCGTTGATTCTGAAGTTCTTCATACTTGCTTCACTCTCTGCCATGCTGAGGTCTCAGTACGTCATTTGCTTTGCATGTGCCTTTCGTAATGCCTTTTCTAGAGACTGTTTATCTATTTCTTGCCTTTGCTCCTGTTGAAATTCCTTAATATTTTGCAGTATGCGTATTTTATGTCGCAGGGCTGTGTGTTCTGTGAGCCTCCTTCTGATGCAGCTGATTCCCGTACCTTGCAGATTGCTGCATTATCTGAAGCTCTGGGGATTTGTACTTTTCTTCGAAATCAGGACGAAAAGTTTGAGTCTCATTCTCTAATTTTATCTCTCTGTGGGTGGCTTCAATTAACCTTCTCTCCAAATGAGACAAATCACACTGGAAACAAGGCCGTCTTCGACTCACCTTTGCCCGCGCAGGAATTTACCCTGAGTCCAGGATGCACACAGCATCCTAAGGGTCTCCTAGGGTAGCAGGCACCTGGAAACTGCAGCTCTGTTCTGTGCCAGCTCACTGCTCCCTGTCTCCCCCTGCTGGCCAGCATGATGCCCTTCATGGGCCACCACCACTGAGGGCTCCACTGTAAGCCAAGTGCCTGGCTGCCCTGGGCATCTATGGGACCCCACAGGAAACCCCAAGCAAATCCTTATGTGTCATATTCCTCTAGTGAACCCTAAAGACAGGCAGTTATAAAGTCACTTCCTCCATGTTTTACGCGCCTCACAGGTTGCACTGTTTGTGTTTCCTTGTCTGGCCGATGGGAACACTGTATGCAGAGACTCATTGGTCACGTGGAGCAAGTTATTCCTAGTGGGAGGAGGAAAATCCTGCCAGCCTCGCCCATGGGGAACGTAGGCACACAGCTCTCTGGTCTGGGAGTCAGGAGCTGGTGCAGTGAAGGCAGATCCACACTTGCTACAGGGGAGGTCTCTGAGCCGGGTCGGGTCTCACCTGCTCTGCACTGACCTCCGTGGAGTGATGGGCCAGTGAGCAGAGCTGCAGTCGATTGGGGGAGGGAACCGAGATGCTCAGGGTCCTTCTCATTGACTAAATCTTCCATTCACACGGGGAGTTTTCATAGCTATCCACGACACACTGTGATCCCTTCTGTTCCCCTTTGCTGTCTTCTCCACGCACTATTTCCAGAGCACAGAATAGGGGGCGGCCATGGATCTTGGCCAGCTCCTCCCGGGCCCTGCGCCTGCTGCCCAGCCACAGTCCTTGACTGTGGTGTTTCCTGCAGGGCCCACAGGACGTTCTCCAGCTTCAGTCTCTGCTTGTGATGCCCTGGCTTTGGCAGGCGGCGGGGCCCCTGGAGGCCTGCTCCAGGCCTCCTCTCCCTGCTGGCAGCAGCCTCCAGGAAGTGCCTGTGCCCCATGATAGGCTGCTTCTCCAGGGTCACTGCATCTGCTCTCCCAAGCTCTGGGACTAGCTCGATCTCATCCAGGTGCTGAGAACCTTACTCAGAAAGGGTGTTAGCAGGAAATCGTGTCTCCTGTGTCAGCTCCAAGCACCTTTGTTGTGACCCATGCTCACCGGTGACAGCTTTCCAGTGACTAACGGAAAGGGGGCCTCCCCAGCCTGTTGCAGTGGGCTCTGGACCATGTAATGCACTAAGCGGTCACTGCATTGGAAGACCTGAGGAGCAAAACCCCAGGGGGATCTCCAGGCTTCAGTTGCTCTCCCAGTGCCTCTCTGGTCTTCCCTAACCCTTCTATTTCATTTCCTGTGACTGCAGAGTCACTGAAGGAATCCAGGAATCCGGGAACTGGCAGTCCCTGTCAGTCACCCTGATTGGCCATCAGTTTCATTATGCCTGGTGTTTATTTTATACTGGCAGGATTACTTTCTTTGTTTGTTTGTTTGTTTGTTTAATCTTTTCCCTCTTCTCCCAGGCCTCCATTTAATTCCCAGGGGTGCCACGAATAACTTGAATCCCCAGTGGGGTCCAAGTGCCCCCGGACTTCCTTGTGATACTTCCTCCCAGGTGCTGGCCTGAGACCTGGCGTGGTGGATCTGTGAGTGCACCTAACACTCTCTTTCCTTCTTTCTTCTCCATTCTGTATCTGGCTCTAACTTTGCGGAAACTGTAATTCTGGGGACGCTTGCTTGAATTTTGTGAGATTAACTAGCAAGGAAGGAAACCAATACCAGACAACCCCGGGTGTAAGAGGAAATCCCCTAGTATTCTATTCACAGGAGCACATTTGTTGGGGTGAGCTAAGAGGGGCAAATACAACCTCAGTGGCCTGCCTTGGGTTCTGACCAACGGCTCTGAGGTGCACACAGATTGACTGGCTTGTTTCCTGCACGCCACAGGTTCCTTAGTCTGCTGGTCTGGCGGTTAATCTGTGTGTGGTGACGGACTGGGCAAAGCCAGGGACCACGGAGGCCGGCAAGGATCATCCCAGTGGACACTGGAGGAAAAACACCTGGAGGGAAACTGACCCCAAATCCCTAGAAGTGAATTTAGTCTGTGACTGCTTCCTGTTTTTCACCTTTTGAGTTTATGATTTTCTGCTCCCTTCTTCTTTCTATGCGTATAAAATTCATAGATTGTAATTAGAGGGTAAAGATAGTTACTTTTGTCTTAAAGATGCTTTCTCTGTTGATCTTACTGAAATGCTGGTTTGGACTAACTCTAAGAGGGGAAGAAATTTTCCCGGGGTTCCCTTGAGGCATAAGTGACACCTGGGGAAACCCAGGCTGCATCAGGGCAGGCAGCAGACTGACCCTGGTGCCTCAGTTTCCTCCAGGGTACACGAATCATCAGGCTTTCTCCAGAGCCCTGTCATCCACCTGCCAACACATCTCTTTCTGCCCCATTGCTTTTCTTAGGGGAAGAATTCGCATATACTGCAAAGCACAATGCATGCAACCAGGTAGACTTTCTGAGGTTCCTTCTGGAAACTTCAGACCTGGTTTTGGGACCTTCTGCCACGAGGTGGAGGCCGTGAGAGGTCACAGGGCCACTTTCCAGGCTTTTCCTATGAGAGACTTCATTTAGGAAGGATGCTTCTTTGGATTTTTGCTCATTTTGATTATTCTCCCCCCCCCCCGCCCCATTTCCTAGAAATCTGATGAAGTGACTCAGCCTTTTGCTAAGGAAAGGGATCATTACTAGGTGTGTGCACCCCTGTGGTCCCAGTGCTCTGGGAACTTGGGTCAGGGGGTTCCAAGGTAGGAGTCCAGGCCGAGCCCCTTGGTGAGAGCCTGCCTCAAAAAGTAATAAACCCGGGGGGTGTGCGTGGCTTCCCGCCAGGATCTGGGAGGCATCCCCAGCACACACAAAAAGGCATTTGCCGAAATTCAAAACTTTTCTAAGGCTGTTTTGAAGGAATATATTTCTAATTGTAAAAGCCAGGTGTGGTGGTGCCTGCAGCCCCAGCCAGCATTTTAGGAGCCAGAGGGAGGCAGGAGGGTCAGGAGTTCATGAACTGTGGTTTAGCAAGATCTGCCTCAAAATGAAAATTAAGAAGAGGCCAGGGGGAGTCCCTGAATCCCCTGGACCAACAACAACAGCAAGAAAAAAACGTTACTTTAAAGGGATTTTCTAAGGTAACAGTTTAATGCAGCAATACAAAACCAAAACCCAATCCTCTATGCTTAATACACCAAAGTTTTCTTAAAATATTGATAAGGTGGTGTACCACATATGGTGTCCCAGGACAGTAACCCCAGCTCTCAAGAAGCTGAGGCAGGAGGATCAACACAAGTTCAAGGCCAACATGGGCTACATAGTGAGTTCGAAGCCAGCATGAAACTATGTATTGAGAACCTGTCTCAAATAATATACAAAGTGTTGTGCTGGCTTAGAAAACAAAGATTTTGTGTTTGTCAGATACACTGAAGGAAGTGTATCTCAGTAGAGCTAGATAGATCTAAAGTGTCTATTTGCTGTAAAGTCTTTTTACATCATCAGTTTATGACACTCTCATCCCTGGTTGCAGTGAATCTGGCACCTGTATATGTGACCAACTGTGAGATTACCTCTGAGGACTAAATATGCCGTGTGCCCTAGCTTTGTCTAAATGTATGCAAAGGTTTGTAAAATTGAAGGCACATAGGTTGAATGCATGTCAGATAACAAATACATGTTGTCTTTTGTGCACTGTGCATCACTTCTGCTTATGAAAGCTGTGACCAGAAAACTTTGGGCACCTGTGTCCTTTGCACTCAGTACTGAGTGGGAAAAAGCCCCCAATTCGCTGCCCTTGTCCATCAGGTACCCAGGCACCTGTGGCCATTAGCACTGTCTCCTCAGCGTGGAGGTGCTCCATAAGTCTCCTTTGATTCTGTCAGCATTGTTACCTTGACATTCACCGCAAAGTTAAAAGCTGGGTTGGTGTGGGCAGGACTTCTGTGCAGCCGTGATGCTAAATGTTGCTGGTTCTTTGTGTGTCACATGTATCTGCTCCCGTGTTCCGTCTTCTACAGTGCACAGCTCTGGGGAGCAGCTCACCATGCTGAGCCTTCTGACTTGGTCACTGGTAATGACAGGCATGTGCAGGTGTGTGTGCGTGTGCTCCTGGTTCTACTGTGACAGCCCTCTTTGGGCGACAATACTCACACAGGCCCACGCACAGTGCATTCCAAGCAGTGCCACTCTGCGACTGAAAAAGTTAAAGTACATCTGTGAGGAGCACTGTCCGCTTTATCTAACACATTCCGTGATTCCCGGTCAGCATGCAGCTTCATGACAGAGCACTTGCCAAGCACACACAGGCCTTAGACTCAGCAGCCGGCACTGCCAAAGAAAACCCATCATTGCTGAGAGACAAAATTTCATGCAGATTTATGTGGCTAAGGTTTTGTGATTGGCCAGGTGTTGTGGTGCATGCCTCTAATCCCAGAATTGGGGATTCTGAGGCAGAGGGTTATCAGGAGTTTGAGGCCAGCAGGAACTAGGCCCTGTCTCAAAAAAAAATTGTAATTATATAAAGTGACATTGTTTATAAATTACATCTTGTTAATGTTGTCACACTGCATAGTAAAACAGGAAGTCAAATATGTTTTTTGAAGTGTATGGTCCTGATATCATGCTGTCAGTCGCATCTACTAACCCTAAAATGCCATTGGGAAATGGGTCATTTTGTTGTTTGCTAAACTCTCCTCGGAGTTTTAACTGTAGCTCATCTGAGCCTTTTGTCATCCCTGATTTTGACTGTTCTCTGAAGCATTTGTGAACAGGTTCCTCAAAGGGAATCTAGCAAGTACTGTGAACAGCTTTCTGGCAAAAATAAACTTATTTTTTAGAGGAACGCACGCTGCCCTCGGACCTTGGCTCATGCTGCCATGCACTTCCTGTGTTACTTCTGCTGGCCCTGTAGGACACAGCGCCACCCTCGGACCTTGCATCTGTACCACTGGCTTCCTATGCAACTTCCTTTCACCTGGAGGGACACTGCGCCAATGGCCGCTGCCTTCGGTGACCCTCCCATTCTCCTAGACCAAGTACTTGATCTTTGGCTCCCATTCCTCCTCCCAGAAACTTGCACTGCAGTGGATTACTGTGGTGAGTTGAAGGGAGACTCAGTGACCTCTCACCCAAACCGAGGACCTCAGCAGGATCCAATCACTATGCTCCTGTACTTCTGGCATTCATCCTACAACTTCAACAACCAGTTCGAATTACAGCTTCACTAAGTAGAATGGGACCAAATAGATGAAACCACTGAGAAAAAAATCATCAAAGTGATACAAGACTTCAAAATAAGATAGCACCCTGCAGACACACAGACTGATGCTACCAGCCCGTCCCTCCGCCCAGGACCGCATATGCCGCTGCACCGTGCTTCCCAAGTGTATGGTGGATGCTTGAACCCAGGACACCTGCTGGCCCACTGGGGATACTCCCTACCTCCTGGACTTAATACTGCTATTGATCTTCAACTCCCACCCTTTCTCCCAGAAACTTGGGATACAACAGATTAACTGTGCTAGCTTGATGGGAGATTTAGTAACTGCCTCTCTCAAACAAAGGATCTCAGCAGGCTCCAGTCGGTGTGGTGTGTATGGCCCTAAATCTTACCTGTACAGTGGGTAAACAGGGCCGGTAGTAAAGCTCCCTGCCGCTAACTGTCAGACCTTGGTGAGTCTGGTAAGAGTGTGAGTGACCCCTTCTGGCACACAGAGAACATCAGGCAGCATGAGGAGTGTGCCAATAAGGATCCCCCCAACTTGGAGAAAATCAAAAGGGCTTGTGAGTCACACAGGCACACAGTAGGGACACAATAGGGCAGGGAGATTTGGTGACCTGGAATAACCTGAAGATAAGGTAATAGTAGGAAGTAGAAGTTGACCTACATCAATACTACTAGGTTTGTCAGCCCAGGAAGAATATAGGACTCACCCAAAAGGCCCTGCAGGGCGAATCCAGGCAACTGGCTCACCTCTTCATTGTGGGACCCAGAAATTGGACAAGCATCAACCTTACAGTAGGACCCCAAGATACACACTATCAACAGTTGACACTAGTGGAACTGAAGGACCAAATGTTAACTTGAAAGGGGAAAATGGCAAAATGAAAAAGCAAAATGCAACCTCAAAATCTAGTCCACCGGGAGCAAGTACAGGAGACACTGAAATAGAGGACTTCAAAGTAACACTGGAAATCTCTGAAAAGATAGCAAGTGAAATAAAACAACTCCATGAGGCTATACAGGAAATCAAATTAGAAGCAATCTCTCATGCAAAGACAGAAATAACAACCTTAGTAAAGGAGTTGCTCAGCACGCTTAAGGAAGAAGTACAGGAGCATGGGAAACTGATTTAAAACTTGAATGAACAATATAGAAAACAAGCAGAGTCCATGAAAGAAACTCAAAGAGACAGCCAAGAAACAAAAAATTCTATTCAAAGCTGGCAAAACCATTTAAATGGAGCTGAGGATAGGATTTTGGACCTTGAGGACAGGATTACAATTAGTGATCTTGAAATGATAGAACTTTTAGAAATAACAGCAGCATGAAATGACAATCCAGCAGCTTCAAGATGGTGCCATGAGAAACAATACAAGATTAATAGGCATCAGTGAAGATGCAGAAGTCAATGCAAATGACATAACTAACATATTCACAGAAGTAATACTAGAAAATTTCCCAAACATGGGGAAAAAGTCTGATATGCAAATAAGTGAGGCATATAGAATGCCAAACAGTCACAACCAACATAAATTTATACCCATACATATAATAATTAAGATCCCAGACATGCAGCATAAAAACTGTTAGAGAATACTAACAGCTGTTGGAGAAAAGACAACAACTCACCTATCAAGGAAAGCCCATTAGAATCACAGCAGACTTTTCAGCAAGTCAAGGGTGGAGTGAGGTGTTTCAAGCCCTGAAAGAAAACAGCTTTCAACTCAGACTGATGTATCCAGAAAAACTTTCATTCATACTTAATGGAGAAACAAGCTACTTCCATGACAAAGAACAGCTGAAGAAATTCATATCCACCAAATCAACCCTAGAAAGAATATTGAAAGAGATACTAGGTAGAGAGAAATATGACCACAATCTCATGAATAACAACAAAAAGAAATCACCAGTTCAGACAAGCAATTAAACAAAGGGGAAAAGCAGAAAGCAAACAACTGTAACACAACATAGCAAAGTCAAATCAGTACATATCAGTGATATCCATAAATGTAAATGACCTCAATTCACCTATCAAAAGAAATAGGTTGACAGAAAGGATCAAGAAAAATGATCCCACAGTATGCTGTGTGCAAGAAAACACCTGACCCAAAAGGAAACTCATAGATTAAAAGTCAAAGGATGGAAAACAGTATTCCATGCAACAGGAGCTCAGAAAAAAGCAGGGGTAACTATTCTCTTTGCAGACAATGTGAACTTCAAACCTAAAATGATTAAAAGAGATTTAAAAGGTCACTACGTACTTGTTAGTGGAAAAATTCAAGAGGAAGAACTAACAAGTATAAATGTATATGCACTAAATACTGCAGCACCCAACTATATAAGACAAATACTAATGGACATGAAAAACCCAATACACAAGAACACAATTATAAGGGAAACTTACACCACATTGTCACAAAGAGAGAGATCAACTAGACAAAAAGTCAGCAAAGAAATAATAGAACTGAATCATACCTGTGAGCAATTGAACTTAATAGATGTTTACAGAGTGTTCCACCCAACCACATCAGAATACACATTCTTCTCAGCTGCACATGAGACATTCTCCAAAAGAGACCATATAGTATCTCATAAAACATTCTTAAGTAAATGCAAAGGTATTGAAATTATCCCTTGCATAATATTTGATCATAGTGCACTAGAATTGGAAATTAATGGCAAAATAAATTGCAAAATCTGCATAAATACATGGAAATTAAATAACCTTCTAAACAAAAAGTGGGCTACAATTAAGAAATAATACCTACAATTCAATGAAAATGAGGACACAACATACTGTAATGTGTGGGATGAAATGAAAGCAGTGTTAAGAGGGAAATATATAACACTTAATTGTCATATCAAGAAAACAGAACAAGCACAAATAACATAATGCTTCATCTCAAGCTTCTAGGAAAAGAAGAGCAAATGAAACCCAAAGCTCATAGAAGAGAGGAAATTGTAAAGATTAGAGCAGAAATCAATGCACTTGAAACTAAAAAGAAATACAAAGAATTAATGTATCACAAACCTGGGTTTTGAGAGAATAAACAAAATTGACAAGCCTCTAGCTAACCTTATCAAGAAAAAGAAAGAAAAACCCAAATTCATGCAATTAGGATTGAAAAGAGGGAAATTATTCCAGATCCTATGGAAATTCTAAAGATCATGAATACTTAACTTTGAATATCTCTACTCACATAAGAGTGGAAAACACAGAGGAAATGGTCAGCTTTCTATAAACATATGAACTACCAAAGCTCAACCAAGAAGATATAACAATCTTCAATAACCCAATATCAGCTACTGAAATTGAAAACACAAATAAAAACACACTAACAAACAAAAGCCCAGGTCCTGATGGATTCATAGCTGAATTCTACAAATAATGTAGAGAAGATTTGATGTCAATACTACTTAAACTCTTTTTTTTTTTGTACCAGGGCTTAAACTCATGACCTTGTGTTTGCCAGGCTAGCACTTAGGCCATTGAGCTAAATCTCTGGCCCTTAAACTCTTCAATGAAATTGAAAAGCAAGCAATCCTCCCTAAGTCATTCCTGGAGGCAAGTATTACTCTGACACCAAAACCAGAGAAAGACCCAACCAAAAAGAAATATATGCCAATCTCACTAATGAACATTGATGCAAAGACTGTCAATAAAATGCTGGCAAATAGAATGCAACAAATCATCAAGAAGATTATACATCACAACCAAGTGGGATTCATTCCAGGAATGTAAGGATGGTTTAACATACACAAATCAATAAATGTGAAACACCACATCAACAGAGCCGAAAACAAAAACCACATGGTCATCTCAATAGATGCAGAAAAAGCTGTCAATAAAGTCCAACACATGTTCATCATAAAAACCTTCAGAAATTCAGAATACATGGTGTCTACCTCAATCTTTATAAAGGCCATCTATGACAAACAGCGAACATTATACTAAATGGACAAATAGTGAAAGCTTTCATTAAAATCAGGAACAAGACAAGGATGTCCACTATCACCACTCCTATTAAGTATAGTTTCAGAAATACTAGCCAGGGCAGTAAGACAAGAGAGAGAAATAAAAGAAATAAAGATAGGAAAGGAAGAAGTTAAATTATCACTATTTGCAGATGACATGATACTCCCAAAAGATATGATACCCATGATACCCAAAAGACTCCATTAAAAGATTACTAGAGGTAATAAACAAATTTAGCAGTGTAGCTGGATACAAAGTCAATGCTCAAAAATCAACAGCATCTCTTTAAAATTAAAAAAAAAAGCATTCCCGTACACAAACAAAAACTCACCGACACAGAAATTATGGAAATATCGCCCTTCACAGTACCATCTAAAAAGATGAAATACTTAGGAATCAACCTAAGAAAGAATGTAAAAGACCTATATGCTGAAGATTATGCTATGCTAAAAGAGGAGACTGAAGAGGATATTAGAAAATGGAAGGATATTCCTTGCTCTTGGCTAGGAAGAACCTATATGGTGAAAATGGCAATACTCCCAAAACTGTTACACAGATTCAATGCAATCCCAATCAAAATAGCATTAACATACCTCCCAGCTCTAGAGAAAACACTCCTAAAATTCATTTGGAAACAGACTAGAATAGCAAAGGCAATTCTGGACAACAAAGGCAAGATAGGAGGCATCTCAGTTGCTGACTTAAAACTATATTACAAGGTCACAGTGACAAAATCAGCATGGTACTGGCAAAGAAGTAGACTTGAGGATCAGTGGAACAGATTAGAGGATGCAAGCACAACTACAAAGACCCTCAGCCTCCTGATATTTGACAAAGGAGCTAAACGTGTTCACTGGAAGAAGGATAGCCTCTTTAATAATAAATAGTTTTGGCAAAATTGGCTCTCCACATGCTGAAGACTGAAACTAGATCCATGCCTATCACCATGCACAAAACTAAAGTCTGAAAGGATCAAAGACCTAAATATTAGACAGAAATGCTAAGTCTACTGGAAGACAAGGTAGGTAGCCTTGGAGACATGGGATAGGCAGAGAACTCATGAACAAAACACAAACTGCACAGGAAACACTTCAAAGAATCAACAACTGGGATCTTACATTGTTGAAAATTTTTTGCACTTCCAAAGAAATCACCAACAGAATGAAAAAAAAACCCACAGAATGGTAAAGAATTTTAGCCAGCAACCCCTCAGAAAAAAAACTTATAGCTAGAACATACAAAGAACTGAAAAACATCAAGCCCCCCATATTCAAATACCTGCTCCAAAAATGGGTATCTGAGATGAACACACAGTTCTCAGATGAAGATACACAAATGGCAAATAAATACATGACGTGTTCATCACTGGTCATTCAAGAAATGCAAATTAAAACAGCATTGAGATTTCATCTCACTCTAGAGAGAATAGCTGCCATCAAGAAATCAACTGATAACAAATGTTGGCGAGGCTGCGGGGGGAAAAGGAACACTGCTCCACTATTGGTGGGAATGTAGACTGGTGCAGCCACTCTGGAAATCACTATGGACATGTCTCAGGAGACTTGGATTGGAAGCTCCATTCAGTCCAGCTCTTTCCCCTCCTGGGAATTTTCCCAAAAAAACTGAAAAGGTCCTGTCACGGTAATATATGTGCACCCATGTTCATAGCAGCACAATTTGTAATAGCTAACTCTTGGAAACAACCAAAATGCTCATCAACTGCAGAGTGGATGAAAAAGATGTGTTATTTTTTATACAATGGAATATTACTCAGCTATAAAGAGGATAGTCTTGAAGCCTTCATAGGTAAATGGAGACAACTTGAGACTATCCTCATAAGTGAAATATATAATCATATTTATAAACGTCACATTGTGTCTCTAGTGTAAAAAGAAATAAGAACTGTAGCAGTAATAAACCCAAAATATGTAATTGCTATTGTAACAAAGGAAAAGAAAGTGCTCTAAAGGATATAACTGCATGTATAAGTATATAGGATTAACAACCATGTTACTAGGTTTTTGTTGGATAGTTGAACAGAACTGTTTGCAGTCTCGCTGTTTGAATGTTCACTTTGTATGCTTTAGTTTTGTAACTTGAATGACTATTTCTAAGAGGACAATATGTAATTTATCAACTGGTGATTTTTTACTGTTTTTTTTAAATTATGTAGTATTTCTACCCTTTTTTCTGTTTTGATTTTTTCTTTAAATAAAATTTTTAAAAAGCAATTTTCAAAGAAGTCATTTTTTCTTCAAATAACTTGAAGAAAATTTGTATTATTAAGATACTGCACTCCATGATTCGGAGGTACCTCACCCCCGAGTGGCTGGTTTTGAGGTTGGCTCTGTTGTGTATTTTCTCTGTAAAGCTTGATATCCACTGCCCCTTGTCAGCCAGCAGTCGCAGGACATCCCGGGTAGATTCTGAGACGAGGGCTGCCACGTACAGGAGGGCAGACAGACAGCCGTGTCCCCTCTAACCCTACTCAAGCGCAGGCTGACGATCTCCAGTCCGCCTTCCATCTCAGAGTGGCCCGCACTGCAGAGGATGCTCCAGAGGCAGCAGAGCAGCTCACCCCCACTCGGGACGGTAGAACTGGCCTCTGTGTGTTCAGTAGCAGAGCAGCTCACCCCCACTCGGGACGGTGGAACTGGCCTCTGTGTGTTCAGTAGCCGAGCAGCTCACCCCCACTCGGGACGGTGGAACTGGCCTCTGTGTGTTGAGCGCTGCGATGAAGGAAGGTGGGAGGCTGAAAGGCAGACCGGTGCCTTGCCGCTGCCTCCCTCCCTCCCTCCCTCCCTCCCCAGCCAACAAGGAAAGGCGAGACCCCTGGAAAGGGCCCTGCAGCCCTGGTGAGCTCCTCGTGGGGTGACGAGTGGACTCCAGAGAGCAGGAGGGGCTGTGTGCAGTGTGCAGGGCGCAGTCATTAGCGTGGCCGTGTCCTCAGTGCTGGCAGGCGCGGTCACCGAGTGCTTTGGTGCCAGCCTGGCCTGGCCTGGCAGGTGACACGTCTGGGAGGGGACAGAGCTGAGGGAGCCTCCGCTGAGGCTGCCAGATAGTGGGACAAAGGCTGATGCACACAGAGGTCACCACTGGGCCTGGAAGCTGCAGCGTGAAGGCAGGACCACAGGGTGCAGGGAGGGATGGCAATGAGGAGCAGAGGGAAAGGAAGGCCATTGTTTCAGGCCTTCCGGGAGGAAAGGGAACAAAAGGGGCCTCAGACTCCACCCAGCTGCTGGCAGAGCTAGAGAAGGAAACGTGCCCTCTGAGGGCCGGAGCTAACCCCAGCCCGCTTAGAGAAGCAATGCGGGCATCCCCGGGCCCAGCCTCCCTGTGCCTCCAGTGACATCGTCAGGGATGTCGGGCACTCCCCAGACACTGTCCTGCTCTAGAAAGAGGCACTAAGTCACATTCTTGCCTGCACGAACAAGGCCCCGAATGGCTGAAAGGTAGATGACAGGTCAGTGAGCAACCTGAGGCACCCCCACTCCGCACTGAAAAGTCACTGTTACCCATGTGCGGCTGCTGCCTGACTTCCCGTGTAGCAGAGGGGGAAATGAGATGGGCTGCGGACCAGGTGCCGGGCCGGACAGCAGGAAAGTGCCTGGCCAGGCTCACTTGGTTCCTGTGTCTCCAGGCCCCCGTCACCACTTGACTGCTGCCTGTCTGTGGCCCACACTTGTCATATCGGAGATGGTCACGTGTGTCTTCCAGCCACCCCTGCCACTGGCACTGAAAGTCAGAGCCGGCCACTAGGTCCCTGAGCTCAGGCAGCCAAGGGTCGGTGTCCCCACACTGGGCAGGGCCAGCTGCCTCCAACCGTTCTGCAGCTGCCCTAGAAGATGGACCATGGCCCCTCGGCTCCCCTGAGGACTACGCCTGGCCGGGCCCCTGAGGGAGCAGGGCCAGTGCGACTTCTGAGTGGTGTCCCCAGAGCAGAGGAGCGGGGGCTGCACCGTTGAAGACTAGAGCCGGCCACAAAGGAGGCTGCTGGTCAACCAGGGCTCTGCTGTATCCCTGGAGATGGGAAGGCGGGGTCGGGGGCCACTGGAGGAGACAGAGCAAGTGAAGGTGGCGCAGACCTGGCCAGGTGCTGCCCCGGATACTGTTACACACACAGGACAGGGCGTTTGCATCATAAATTCTCCTCCCAGAGAGTGGGGACCACACATTTCCACAGCCGTGTGCAACCTCACAGCTGCGTGGTAACTTAGCCCCACCCTGTCCAGAGACCCCAACCCTTTTAGGTAAAAACCCAGGGGTAGTGATACCCTCTGAGACCTCCTGAAGTGAAACATTTCCTTTGTTCTGCATTACTTTCTGAAGTAGCTTTTGCTGTTAAGCAGTCACTTCTCTTCCTGGAGCTGCTTATTATACAGCAGTGTGTTTCTTTACTGTAATGAACTTTCATCTTCCCTTTAAAATTAATTAATGATTCTGGCACTGTGGTGTAAGCCTGTATTCCCAGCGTTCGGGAGCCTCAGGGCAGGAGGATCCCACCAATTGGAGGCAGACCGAACTACAGAGCAAGACACATTGTGTCCAAAAGAATTCGGTGCCGTTTGATTTCCATGTGCCATGATGCTGACCCAGGTCACTGGTGACTCAGGGACTGTTAAGCTGGCAGGCTTCTTTCCAAAAGGGCACCCAGCAGTGGCACCTAGTGCTTCCAGGTGATGTCTCCATCCTAACAGGGACAGATATGGAGATTATGTTAGATGCTTTGAAAGACGAGCGTTCCCAGACCTCAGATCCACAAGTCCTGCTTCGATTGGAGCTGTGTTCAGTGCTCCTAATCCCAAGCACCCCTAGCAAGTGTGTTGGGAGCAGAGCGAGACCAAGGAAGCCCAGCCTCAGACTCAGCTATAGCATGGGCCGGGCCCCAGGCCACGTATACTCTGCGTGGCTCCCAGCATCACTGTTCACGTTTAGTGGGTGCAGTCTTGGGAACACCAGAGTAAGAGCCAGACACTCTGTTCCTCGGTGATTGAGTGCACATTAGCCAAACTCTGCCCTGTCCTGTCCCGTGCCATAAAGCACTTGCAGGCGCAGAAGCTGTGAAACCTTGGGACACTGTGGCTCTGTCTGTTTTGTCCCCCATCATGGTTTGAATATCAAGCCCGAGAGTGAAGGTCCTCTCAGTGGGTGCTGTGGGGGTGGATGGATGGGTAAAATTCTATTTCGCGTTACTTTTTTTTCCACACGGAGAAGGAAGTTCTACGTTCATTGATTGCAGAGGTTCCTGTTCCCCTTTTTACGGTTAGCAGCACCTATGCAGATATTTGAGCACGCTCTCTAGTCACGTCTGACTTTATTCTGATGAAGCAGATGGACAAGCTTCACTGTTTCGGCACCACATGGGACCATTTCACAAGTTTCACAGCCTCACTAGCAATGTGTGACTGGCCTGTCACATGTAGCTCCTCCCCTGCACTTCAAAAAAGGCTTTGTGACATTTTCGTGTGGTTCATCTGGAAACTTCTATAGAATTTTTTTTTTGTAGTAAAAATAGTTTTGTGATTCTCCTTGCCTTTGTATGGCTTAGCTTATTGTTTTATCTTGCACTCATGCTATGACAATCATTTAAAAATCACAACTCGGATGGAACATTGTGTTTGGTCTTTACCATCCAACATAGGGAATGGCACAAGGTAGATTTTGGGTTTCTTTTCTTCCGTGCAATTCTGATAAATTACTGAATGGAGCGGTTTTCATAAGCTGGCCCTGAGCGGGCGCAAAGCATCAACATCTGACCTTCTGTTTTCTGCCCCCTAGAAACTTGAACTAAACGTATTCGTGTTGTCAGGTTGGGTAGCTGGTCACTGGTGTCTTGCCACCATGTTTGAAAATTGCCTTACAGGCCAGCTGCAGCCTGTGAAGGAGTCATTACTTATATGTAGGGTTTTCACCTGTGCCACATTTGGTCTCAAATCCGAGTTAAGAACTTTCTCTTGGTTCTCTGAAAACGTGTGTGACCATTAATATGTGTTTGTGTGTGCAGTTTGCTCATCTAAAAAGATGATTTTCTTTGGAATGCAGTCCCTCCAGATCTCCATCAGCACCACGTATGTGTTCCTGACATTCAGCAAGTGAACATTTAGCTAAAAGAATCTTGTATCACATTCAAGTGCTTGTCCTGTCCTCCACCGGCCAACAGCGAAGCACAGCCAAAGCTGCCCCTCCTGTATCCGTGCCACCCAGCTGTGTAACAGAATTGCAGAGATCCGACCCGGTCCTTCCACCTGCAGAGCACAGGCACCCTCACACAAAAGGCCTTTATGAGTCCCACACGGGCTCTGTCCCTCTGTCTTCCACACAGTCACAGAAATTCCACATCCTCCGGAATGCTCTAATGTGGGCTCCAACCCCAGCCCTGGGAAATCTGTTGGCAGGATCCTTAAGTCCTTCTCCAGCAGTTTCATGATTTGAAACTATTTTGAGCAGAAATCACTCCTGATTTAGGAAATAAATGAGGTGAGGCCATCAGAGGGTGACAGATGAGCTGTGTCAGTGTGGGGCGACAACTCCAAGAGGAAGCTGGCAATCTGCTTTCTGGGATGGATGGGAGGATGTTCCTGGAACCCAGGTGACCCTGAGACACACATACCCTCTGGTGTCAGCAGGGCTCTCGAGATGGGGGTATCCTTCCTGGGTCCCCCAGGGTGTCATAGAGGTGGCCATGCAGTGCCAGGACCTGTTGTGACTACAAATGCAGTTCTTTTTCTCACCCTTGCAGCCCCCAGCTGCCAAAACCACCCCCTGCTGCCTGGGCCATGCAGATGCCTGATGACCACAGACTAATGACTTCCAGTCATTTTCAGAAAATTAAGGTGCTTACCAGGCCCTGAAAAGCTAGTAGTTGTGCCCGAGAAGAAGACTCACCTGTGTAATGCCATCAGGAGTGTAAAATCTAGGTCCACACTTACAGCTAACACCTAAGGACAGCCCTGGGCAGGGCTCCCCCAAACAGTGCCCCATTTACTGGAACAGAACTTCTGTGTGGGGCATGGGGAGTACACCAAGCTGTACATGCTCATCAAAGACTATGGTCCCCTCAGTGGTCATTGCAGTTCCATGGCCCGCACATGCTCTTGCTTCTTGGATTAAGCGTCACTTGAGGCTCATCATGAGAAACTTGCAGCACAGGCCAGGGGACAACAGGCAGGTGATTGTGGGTACATCTAAGGTCCTGGATCAAGGCTGGCCTCACAGGACAAGTATCAAGCTGATATGATCATCAAGGCTTGGGACTGCCCATGGTGGCCACTCATGGCCACTGGTCAGTGAGTGGACCTCAGTGTTTCAGGGTAGATGGATACAAAGGGGGACCTAAGATACCAATCAACCCTGTGTTGCCAAAGAACAAATATTATACCAGTTTGAAGATCACAGTTGGCCTTATTTGTAATTCTAGAATTAGAGAGCTTCATTCCATCAAATAGAAGGACAGATCTGATGGCTGAGCAGAGGAAGCTGGTTTTATAGCTGGAGAAAGACAAGAAAGAGCAGAGGGCTAGAAAGCAGAAAGGTCGTCTCAAAATGACTCTGCTTGCAAAGCAGGAAAAGTAAAACACAACAGCAGAAAACACCGGGTTAATGTTGGCATCCTCTGTTGTGAAAGGAAACCTGGCAGTGTGGGTAGCTTGCTGCTGCCCCTGTCCTGATTTCTCTGACAGTTCCACAGCTCACAGACCGTGTCCCAAAGGTAGTTACACTAGATCCAGGGCGCCAGCATAGGAACTGGGAGAAGGGATGTAATTCCATTCCTGGCAGGAATGAGAAATATGCACATGCTGGGCACAACCAAGGTTTGAAAGCTCTGGAAGAATACATTCCTAACTCCAAGGCCCACACTTACGGAAAGCCCCACCTCAGCACCCATGGAAAGCCAGACTTTGGCATTCTGCTTCCTGTCCACCAAGCACACGGAGTTTGGTTGCAATTCAGTTACCTTCTACTCTGGCACAAGCTCTCCAAACCTGAAACAGCCACCAGGTGTCCCCTCTGGATTCTGGGAAAATCGAGGTGCTCCTCCTGAGGATCCCCCAGCTCCACATGGCTCTTGGTCACAGGGGAGCTAGACAGGGCTGGAAACTCCCAGAAAGGTGTGAGGACCAAACTGTATCTCCATTAGGAAACCCTGAGTGCATGAGCGGTAAAATCTTCCCTGCCACACATTGTCCCTTGTCCTGCTAACTTTGATCAACTTCAGAGACATGCCAGCATCCAGAACCCAGAACCCATCTGAAGTACTCCTTTCTCAAATCTCCCTCTGACTTAGCATCTGAGGGGATTGGGACAGGGACCAGGATAGGGAGCCCTGCCCTGCCCAGATGTACAAAGTTTTACCTCCAAGCACAAGGTGGAGGCTGTGTCCACAGCTCCACTCTTGCTGTGATCTTCCAGGCCTGGATCCTTCCTGCCAGGTGTCTTGGTGCTAGGTGACTGGCAGCTGTGTTTCAGGTAGAAAGTGAGAAAGGAGGAAGACAGCTGCCCTGCAACATCGGCTTATGACTCCACGAGCCCAGGACCAGCTGGGCCACACAAACACAGCTTGAGCACCTCCAGGCTCTTATGCAGTACCCAGCAGCACCTATGTCCAGAGGCACCAAGCTCTGGCAAGAGGCAGGTGCGCTACATGTTGGCTGACCTCACTCCTGATTGGAGGATGGGGGAGATAGAAGCACGCGAACTTTCCGTCATTCTCCTCGGTATGAGGACACTGGAATGGGTTTTGAGGTGACTGTCACCTCCTCCCCAAGTCCTTTCTTGTGTTCTGTCCAGGTCCCCCATGCTCCAGGGCCTCTTGGGCTCCCATGCCCCCTCCACTGGGCCCAGAGCCCCACTCTCCCGTGGCTGAGTGCTGTCCCTTGGGTGGCTTGCTCCTCCTTCTCACATCCTAGCACCTGGCACGGAACCTAGCAGGTGCTCAGTGTTTGTGGAACAACTCAAAGAAGCACAGTTGGGAGGTGAGAGGACGGAGGGAAGACAGTGCTTTCCCCTCCCATTCAAGAGGCTAATTGATATAGGGGAATGAAACTGCCAACCTACTATATGTCCGGTACGAGTTTGTGGTCTCTAAAATCAAAGAATGAATTGTAGGAACAACAGAGTAGGAGTGGAGTATATTTATTGAGAGAAAGAAAGCTTCTGTCTGAGAGAGAAACAGAAGTGGTCCTGAGCTGGTTGCCAAAGACTTTTAAGGGACTTTTATAGAGTAAAATCATGAGGTTAGACGTGTCCAAAGTGGATAAAAATGGGAACTTACAAGGTGGGCATAAGGTGGGACAGAATTGCGGTCAACCAATAAGATTAATTCTCAGGTGAAATTGATTAAATTAGGAGCAAATGGGGAGCGAGTCACACAGTGAGCGGGCATGTTTAACAGCACTGACCCTTCCTGTAGTGAGTGAGATGCTGACTCCTGACTCTCTCAGGGTGATAGGGAAATACCTGGCCTATCAATCCTTGGGATGTGGTTGTATTTGCTTTGCCTTTTGTCTTGAGATCTGCCAAAGGCAGGAGGCGTTTGCCTCTTCCAAGGCTGCAAGGTGTCTGAACTTCTGCTCTGGCTCCTTTGAGGGCTCAGCCCTCTCTGTGTCTCTCTGTCTACCTAGAATATTTCTAACTAACTCAGCTGCCTGTAACATTATCAGATGCAATGCTGCTAGTGGCTAGGCCTCCTGGAACCCTGATCCTGGAGAGGCTGCCCCACCTCCATCGGTCAATGCCCGGAGGATGGGCTGGATCCCTGGTACTCCAAGATTGGCCCAAACCCCGGGCCGCAGCCTAGCTGCTCACTGCTCCCCTATGCTAGGCCAGCATAAAGGGCTCCACCTCTTGTCCCCGCAGGGCTCTGCTGGGCTCAAGGCAGAGGACAGGAGGAGGTCCTGGCTGTGACCTTGAGGACAGTGAAGCAGCAATCAGCACCCAGCCCCTCTAAACTGCGGGTGTGAATACAGGGATCTAGAGGGACCCCACACTCTGTGTCTCCAACCTGCTAGCAGGTGAGGTGAGTGCAGGAGTGTCCCTGGTCATTGCACAGAGTAAAGGACTTGGTACTGGAGCAAGGAGCCCGCCTGCAGCCCAGGGGGACCCAGGGGGCGCTGGGAGCAGCCTCGGACGCCCCCTCCTGTGGCAGGTTCCCATTGGTTTTCATCCTTCCAGTCCCCAAGCCCGCACCGGAAACCCAATTCCCGCTCCAGCGGTTGCTCAGCCTGGCCTCCTTAGCACACGCGCAGCCTGGAGGCGGGGCTTCCTCTGATCCCTGATCCTCACCGCCCCCCCCCCGGCCCCGCCCCAAGATTATATCATCCGCCGCTTCCCAGCCCACTCAGAGTTTCTTTTCTGCTACCCTGGGAGGAGAATCGAAACTGAAACCGAAGTTGAATGGAGAGACTAGCGGGAAGGGGGAAGAGGGAAAGGAAGAGAGGCAGAATCAGCGGCCTGGGTAACACGCACCCCAGCCCGCCCCACCCCCGCCTGCCATCCCACGCGCATATTCCCACTCCCTCCCCCATGCTCCCACCCCCACCTGATTCGTACCCCATATCCCCACCCCTCACCACATCCTCACGTGCGTTCAGGCTCACCCTGCATCCTACAGCTCACCGCCTAGCCCCACTCCCACACAGTACCCCCAAGTCCCCAAGCTCTATGCTCCATGCCCTCATCTAGGAACACAGTGCAGACCAAAAGCAACCTTCAGACTCCTCATTCCTTCTGGAGACCCAAATTCATAAGTGCTTGAAACAGTGGGGTACCCAGGAAAGGAACCCACATGGCAACCGGGTGCTGTCCCCTGAGCCAGTCCTCACGTAATGGCAGAGGGTAAGACCCACACAGGCCTGTGCTTCTTAGGGGCAGAGGAGGCTGACAGTGGGCTCTGCCTGCCAGGGGGCAGTGCGAGATCAGCCAGCAAACCCCAGGGCCGGGGAGGCCGGTGGAAGGAGCCAGCGCTCAGCTTGGGAGGGGCCTGAGGTCTGCACAGGGCTTGGCCTTGAAGTGGGTGTGGGTGTGGAAGGTTGGGCAGGGCATCTATACCATGCTGAGCAGCTTGGAGCAACTTAGGAAGTACAGACGGAGGGTAAGGGGCTGGAAAGTCTTGGAGACAAGCTGGGCATAGTGGACCAGCAGCAGGGAGGCTTAGGGAGGAGACCTCAGCCAGTCTGTGGCCAGCCAGGATTACTTCTGAAACCCTGTTTCCAAACAAAGAGTTGTCATCACCCTGTTTACCCCTTGGATGGCTTCTCTCTGCAGCAGGTACACACAGCCCACTTGACCGGCAAAGCTCCAATGAAACAGGAGACAGGAGACGCTTTTGTGGACGACAGTTAACTGCTCCTTTATTTACGCGGGCTCTGGTTTATATATTTGGCCGTGACCAATCACAGGCTGCCACAAGGAAGCAGGGCGGGAATGGGATGCAGGCTCTGGTTACTATATCCAGCTGTGGCCAATCAGGAGTTGCCACAGAGTACGGAGTGAGCGCGGGGTGCACACGGGTTGGCTAATTTAAAGAGGGACGTAGCGCATTGCGGAAGCTGGCATGGTCCTTAGTCCGGGTGGGGTATGGTATGTTAAGCGCCTGCGCCCAACACCCACTTTTATTTTACAAGAGCTAGAACTCAGGAATCTCTACGGGGATGAGGAAAGAGAAGAATCCTGGGCCCATCACAACTGCGTGTTAAAAACATGAGTTTTCTCCTTCTAAGCCAGACTAGTCTTGATGCGAACCATGACTCTTCACTACAGATGCCCAATAGGTAACTAAACATAGAACAAAACTCATTTTCCATCTTTTGTTGCTGTAAAATCTCAGCTCTCCAAGGTTGATCACCCTTGAATGCTCTCACCCTTTCTGTTTTCCATTTGAAAATTGAAAATAGAAGATGGGGAATTCCCAGGCTTCAGCTACGCCTGAGACATCTCGGGTTGGTGCACTCAAACTGAGGTCACCTGGGAACAGACCCCCCCCACAACCATTAAGTCCAGAGCTGTGACATCAGCACTGAGACAATGACGGAGGGGACCTCAGCCCACCAGCTATCTGGGAAGCAGGCCTTCTGCCCTTGTGGGTGGGCCAGGCTGGATTCCTGAACCAGAGCACGACCCCTGCGGCTTTCTTAAAGTTCTTTTCAGCTTTTCCTCTAACTTTTCAACCACAGCTTTGTCCTGTGAAATGATGTTCTGTTTTCATTTCCATTATTACCAAGCTCAAGCACCCAAACTAGCTGGTGACAGAGGTGTTGGTGGGTGAGTGCAGGTGCACCCTTCAGGCTGACTTGGAACATACTAAGGGCTCATTCACGGCAGCTAGAAGGGTATCACTGCCCACTTCCACTTAAAAACCAGCTTGTGCCCTGATATAGGGGAGTGAAACTTCCAACCTACTATGTCTGGTATGAGGCCCTGTTCTCTAAAATCAAAGAATGAATTTTAGGGACAATGGGGGTTAAGAGCAGAACATATTTATTGAGAGAAAGAAAGCTGAGAGAGACAGCAGAGAGACAGCAGGTTGCCAAAGACTCTCTCTGTTTTAGGGACTTTTATGTGTCCTGGGGCGTTCTGGATCCAGTCTTGGAAACAGCTGTCTTTGCCCAGAGTGAGTTGTGGGGTTCACCCTCCATCTGCAGGGCAGTAGACCTGTCCTCTGCAGAAAGCCTCAGCCCTAAGCTCACAGCCCGGGGCAGGTGTCACTCCAGTTCCTCACGGGCAGGTGAAGGACCCAGAGGGCTTGAGGGGGCTCACAGGAACTCCGGGGGAGCTTAGCTTCCCCTCCAGACCAGGCTGGGGATGCCAGACCCCAGGAAGGGGCAGTAAACAGCCCAGGACCTGGCCACTGTGGGCGTCGGCCCCTGCTTGCTCAGCCCAGGAGTCTGGGTCCAGGAGGCTCTCCAGGCTCCCTGAACCTCGCCCAGCTGGGTAGCCCTGGCTGGTGAGCCGCTCCCCAGTCACTGCAGAGTCGGGCGCTGTCCTGAGGGGACGGATGTCTGCGGCTCTCAAAGAGCCTTGAACCCCAGGTCAGGGTACAGCCTTCAGTGGAATGGCGGCTTCACTAACACGGCCCCCCTCGGAGGGCGCGGGGGGCCACAGGTCAGTTTCGTTTCTGCGGGGCGCTCCTCCAGTTCTGGCGCGGGGGCGGGGCGGGGCGGGGCGGGGGCGGGGCCTGCGCTGCTTAGAGCTGAGCCTGACTTCTGTGTTTGTTCCCAAAACGGGGTTGGTGACTGTCGCTGGTTGTCATCTCCAGGACGCGCAGGACAGGGACCGCGTGAGGTGAGGGGTCCTCGTGGGCTAACTCCCAGAATGGGATGCGGGCGTCTCTGAGTTCGAGTAACTGTGGCTCTGAGTGGGTGCGTACCCGCTGAGTCATGGCCCTCCACGCGCAATGATGCTCACAGTAGGCAGCAGGAGCAGCTGGCACCTGAGCCTTCCTGCCACAGGGCCTCCTCTGGGGGTACTGAGGAGGCTTCTGATCCTTTGCGTTCTTTGAACCCCCCAAAAAACACCCCAGCTGTGTTGGAGGCTGCTCACTATCCTTCTGCCCGGAGACAGGGGACTCCTGGGAGACTCAGTGGGGAGGACCGCATGCACCTTCAGGCGCCATTCAAGTTCCCGGGGTAACCGGGGTATGAGGGGCCCAGGTGCTTCTGAAACTTGCCCCCCACGAGCTGCCTGGCCAGTGGAGGGGGAAGGATTTTAGAACAAATTTCCAGACTGCCAGAATCCATGGCTCCCCCTTGTAACTGTTGGTCCTTCGTAGTCACCCCTCTGATCCTCACACAGGAGTGCATCTAGTTGTCCTTTTCAAATGGAGCAGTGAGGGCCCATGATGGTCTGGACACACATGTCCGGGCTTGGGGTGCAAAGAGGGGCTGCTGGAGGGTTGTGTGTGGGAAGTGCTCACCTGCTGTCTTTCTTGAAGCACCAGGTGCAACAGAATTGGGAAGAAGATGGGTCCTTCCATTGGGCAAGCCACAGAAGACGTGAATAAGGCAGAGAAAGGCCAGGTTCTGGTACGTTGCTGTCTTAGAGTCAAACGCCATGTGGACAGGAGCTGTGTCCATCTGAGGGGTACAGTAGGGTCTGTGTAGTGGGTGGAGGGCATAAAGGAGAGTGGGGTGCTCCTTCCCTCAAATCGTGGCTTCCTTGTCCTTCCTGGGGCCAGATGCAGATCTGAGCTGCTTGTCACTCTGCTTAGGACAATGTGCAGTGGAATGGGTGCCCTTTGGGTTTGAGAAAGCAGAGGTGACGCTAATGAGCTCACCTGGGAACTGGCTGGATGCTGGTACCCAGAGCATCGTGTGGGTCCTGCCCAGATCCTGGCTTATCATGCAGCCCAGGGCTGCATGAGGACACTTTCTTCCCAGGGAAATCACGTGGCACCTGGTTTCCTGGGCTTGAAACCTATTTTTGGGGAAACTAAACCGTGGCTGTAGGATGAGTCCCTTCTCACTTTGGTCCCAACACTGACCCTTTCAACTGTCTGACCTTGAGAAGTTCTTTCTTCACTTATTAGCCTGGTTTTCCATGTCTAAGATGGCACCAAACAGTACGTGATTGCCGAGAGTCATTAATGCCACTAATATCAAACCCTCTGAAAGTGCTCTGTTTATTATGATTAATGTTTTAAACTCTGGGCCACCAGCTTGTTTCATGTCAGCGTACTACCTAGGTACCATTCAACAGCTTTTCTAATTTACAGCATTGTTAAAGATCAGAGGCCAGGAGAACAGCTACTGTCTTGTCCTCTTCATAAAGTCTCTGTTTTTATTTCCCTCGTTTGCCCCACTAGTCCCACTTGCTGAGCTATGATCCTCAGGCTATGGGGTTAGATGAGCTCACAGCCTTGTGTTAGCTTTCTGTTACTGTAACACAAGTCCTGAGACAATGAACTTACAAGGAGGAAAGGTTTACTTACTTATCTTACAGGTTTCAGCCCGGGTCCGGTTGACTTAGTTGCTTTGGGAACCTGACAGCACAGCATGGTGGGAGAGTGTCACAGAGCAATGCAGACACTTCATGTCTGGGAAATAAAAGCAAGAGAAGGGAAGGGCTGGGTCCCTTTATCCACTTCAACCTCTTCTCCCCAGCGATCCAAGCTCTCCCCAATGGCCCACCTTTTCAGGTTTCCTCTACCTCCCAATAGCGCCAAGCTGGGGACCAAACATTCACTCCCTGTCCCTTTGGAGGACATTTCAGCTCTAAACTGGAGCGTCCACTCACACCACATGCCCTGGACATGGCCTTTTCCTGTCCAGCTGTGTCTGTCATCTTGGGGCTCCACCACAGGTGGATGGGGACAGTTCTCAAGGTGGGGCCCCAGACCAGCAGCATCAGCACAGCCTGCAAAGTGTTAGAACAGCAAGTACTTAGTTCTTTAGCACCCTCATGCCTGTGATCCTCCTGCCTTGCAGGGCCCTGCATGGAAATGCCATGTGCTCTGAGAAGCAAGGTAGAAGAACCCTTACTTACACTCTGGCGAGTTGTGCGTCAGAGCACGGTTGTCCCTGACAGGACACTGGAAATGTTGGCAGGGCCTCCCAGTGAGGAAGGGATGTCCTAGCAGCTCTGGACCTTTTATAATGAACACATTCATAATGGGGCCATAATTTTTATATCTCACCACTGGGAGGCTCAAACCCCTGGCGGTATGTGGAAGACTGACCCACCCATCAGGTGGCTTATACTACTACTGGTGGTGCAAACAGATCTTATAATTCTTATTAGTGGTTTTACTAATAAAATTAATAAAAAGCCACCTGATGGGACAGTCAGGCTTATTCCCCACTTCTGAAAAAAAATCTTTTTGAAGTTTTATTGTCTTACTATCTTCATACTGACATTGTTTCTGACTAGAAATCTGCTTTCAAGCTTGTCTTTGTTCTTCTGTATGTTATATGATATTTTCTACTTCTGATGTTTTCTCTTTGTAACTGGTTTAGAGCAATTTCCCTGAGATGTGTCTTCATGTAGATTGTATCATGTGTTCTATGCTTGGGGTTCATTGAATTTCTTGGGTTCACAGTTTTCATCAGTTGAGGTCTTTGTGCAGATTACTTTTACTGCAATTTTAAAAAAATCTTTCAGTCCTTTTTGGAATTCTGGTAGCCTGTGTATTGCTGCTCTTGAAGCTGACTGTCTTTTGCGTGCCTCACGGGCAGCACAGAAGAGGTTCTGCGTTTTCACTCCTCCAGGTGGCTGAGAACAACCTCTGCAGGCAGTATGAGGAGAAGGTGCGGCCCTGCATCGACCTCATCGACTCTCTGCGGGCCCTGGGCGTGGAGCAGGACCTGGCCCTGCCCGCCATCGCTGTCATCGGGGACCAGAGCTCGGGCAAGAGCTCCCTGCTGGAGGCTCTGTCGGGAGTCGCCCTCCCCAGGGGCAGCGGTGAGAACGGAGTCCTCTTTAGTCAGGTTGAGCTGCCCAGACTGGGGAGGGGTCTTTAAGGACAGAAGAGGACCTCCCATGGCTCCAGCACAGCAAGCACATGAGCAAGGCTGTAGTCTTTCTTTACAGATTGCAGCCAGCCAGCCCCTCACCTGCTGTACCTGACCTTTCCCCTGGCAGGGTCCTGGTGTCTCTGCCACTTCTGAGAAGGGCACCAGGCATAGTGGTAGGGAGTCCACCCTTGTTATGCCTGCTTGAACAGCCTCCCTTGAGGCCCTGTCTCCCACACAGAAATGTTGGAGTGAGGGCTTCTGCAGATGATTTGGGGAGGACCATGCAGTCAGTAGCACCATTGCATTGCACGTGTCTATGGGCTCTGTGGAACCTGTCTTGTGGGCAGGTCTGAATAAAAGGATGGGGCCCCAGCAGTGCTGTGTACTTGTGGGTAACTGTCCTGAGCCCCTCCCTGGGGAGGTGGAGAATTGCACTCAGGTCAGTGGTACTTGGCAAGGTGCAAGGCCAAGGGGGCAAGTGAAGGCTCAAAGGAAGAGGTCAGAGCCCAGGTGAGAGGGCAGAGCTCAGGGTGCAAGGGGAAGTGAGAGACCAGTGGATCAGGAGCAAGTTGACAGTAGGGGGTTGTGGGACGGTGCTGGGGAGAGTGGTGAGTGCAGCATGTATCAGGACCCTGAGGACAAGTGCAGGTGCTGGCATTGCCACTGCCTTTGTCCCCTGAACTGGCCGCAGGACAGTGGGAGGACACAGGAAGTCTGACCAGAGTGGTGGCTTTCAACCGTGAAGAGAAAAGTTCTTGGTTGCCTGTTTCAAATGCAGAGGCCTGAGGTCCCCAACATGAGGTCTTGGCACATCTGAGGGCATCCAGGGTGGTTGTCTTTCTATCCCCCCATTCCTGGGACAATGGGAATGTGAGCAGTGTTGGCTGGAGGCCCCATATGAAGCTCTAAGACTGGAGGACTGACATAGATGTGGCCCCTAGGCATTGTCACCAGGTGCCCTTTGGTGCTGAAACTGAAGAAGCTGAGGCCAGAAGAAGAATGGAGAGGCAAGGTCAGCTACCTGGACATTGAGGAGGACATCTCGGACGCCTCCAAGGTAGAAGAGGAAATCCGCAAAGGTAAGTGTCCTGTGTGCCTCGTGGTCTGCAGGATGCCTGTTCCAGCTGCGCAATGCGGGCTGTGGATGGTCTCCACTATCCCAAGCTTGGCCCACCCCGTGCTCTCAAAGCCCTTACTATGGGCACCCGCAGTCTTGCTCCTCTCTTGCCTTTCTCCTCTCAAAGACCGAGCGTGGGCACAGAATCTGGCATCAGGAAGTGACTGTGGAGCATGTAAGGAAATATCTGAGAATGATGTGAGTCTTAAATTTAAAGCTTGTCTCCAAACCCAGTGCTCTGCTACCCACATCCAAGGGCCTGTTGACTCTGTAGATCATGGATCAGAGGCAAGAGGATGTGGGTGTGAGCAAAGGGACTGCTGCCTTGCTGCCTCATCCAAGGGCCTCCCTGAAGGCTGTGACACCTTAATCCCCACAAGGACCTGTGGGCCTTGTCCCCAAGAGAGTGTGTACATGTGTGTAGTTACAGTCACCTGACTGGGGAGAGTTCCCCGGAACCCTCTGAACCTGAGCACAGAGTCAGTGTAAAGCGTGGGAGGAGACAAGCCCTGCAGTGACCTTTGCGGGCAGGATACTGACAGAGCAGCCACTGCAGGGGAAGTAGGACCATGCTGTGAGGCTCTGTGTTTCTTCCTGTGACGTCTGGAACGGGGAACAGAGACCTCTGTTTCTGTATAGTGGGCTCTTTAGCCTGGTCCACAGTCTTAGTTAAATAATGTCACAAAGTTTTCTTTGGTCTGAGTTGGAGTTAGTTTGTTTGCCTGTGGCAGAAGACTCAAATTAACTGTGTGTTGGTCATGCCCAGCTGAATAACAAGCTGACCGAAAGCTTCATGGCTTAAAGATACATTTCTCATGATTCACTTAACCCTGTGCTAACGCCAATTCTTTGTGTGGGCTGTCCTAGGTCATAGTCTGGGAAGACTATAACGTATCTGGGTCGTGGCTGGTGTGACTTCCATACTCCAGGGAGCTCTGGGGTTTGTTGGTGAAGAGGGCAGGGGTAGCTTGGAGCAGCAAGACCAGAAAAGCCTGACAAATAGCAGCTTCAATCCACAGACTCACACTCAGGAACATACCTGTGGGTGCTGACTGCACCTCGATTGGAGGAACACGCTATTTGTAGATAGGACAAGGGCTATCGGCTGTGAGGCAGGGATGTTCAGGCATGATGGGAATCCTAGAGGGTGGGCAGCATGTCACAGATGCACAAACATCTGCAGGACTCACAGCACAGCTGGGTTGGAGGCTCCACTGTCAGAAACCATGTGTCCTATTTCTGTTTGTGCTGAGGGCGACCGCTGTCCTCTTGCCCTCACAGTGGAGTTAGCAAGGTCACATTCTGGCCGACTGGCAGTGACAAAGGGCAGGTCAGTGCCCCCGATCACCTTCTGGACGTTGCATGTAACATTTTCATATGTGCTAGGGGCCTGAGCCCAATATCACAATCAAAGAACTGGGCACAGGAATTTGGGCAATTAGCAGACTTGCCTATACCCGCCATTGCTGTTATTTTCCATCTCGATTCTAGATCTGTCCTGTGGGGAAGGAGGATACCACAGCTGGGGTTCCTCTGCCTGAGCTGACCTCTCCCGTGGGTAAACTTGCAGCTTAGTGAGGGATCCTTTGTGCCTTCACTCACCTCCTCCTGTGACTATCACCCCAGCGTGGAGGGAGCGACACAAGAGCTCCCGGGAGTCTGCGCTCCAGTGCACACTGCCCTGGGCTGAGGTTCCCATGGGCAGCATCCGCAGGCCTCTCCAGGGGGGCTGGCTACAGTTTAGAAAGTGTTGAGTTGTCCTTGGAGTCTTTGAAGTCTGATGTGTGAAATGGACTCTGCCCAAAAGGAGCTGCTGCCCAGGAGCCCCGAGAGTGAAGGTATTTTCCATCTTCCCTGGGGTGGGAAATGACACTAAGCCCCGTGGGCTTTTTCTTTTCCTTTTCTCCAGCCCAGAACTACATCGCTGGGGATGGGCTGGGAATCCAGGATGAGCTCATTAGCCTGGAGGTCAGCTGCCCCGAAGTCCCGGATCTCACTCTCATCGACCTTCCTGGGATCACCAGGGTACCTGTGGGCAATCAGCCTGCGGACATCGGTCGACAGGTGAGGTTCAGACTCTTCAGGCCTGGCCTTGGGGTGCAGGTGGTGCTGCCAGAGGGTGGCTGTGAGTCCAGGGCTGCACTGTGTGGTGGCATTGGAAAAACCCTGTGATCATCAGCTCCCAGGGTTGACACTGAAAGTGAGGCAAACAGGTACAATTGGAAACAGGTGTTCTGTTTCTTCTGATTTATGCAGTGACTCGTAGAAGTGGATCTGTAACCACTGGTTACAGCTCCATCATGCGGTGTATCCACACAGGTGTGTGGTGAGAAGACTTTTATGCTGGAAGAGAGGGCATACGATACGAAGGGAGACTGGAGGATGGGTGAATCTCAGTTCATGGACACAGGGATGAGAGCATGAGCCAGGCAGCACTTCTAGCATCGAGTTGTCCACTGTGTCTGCCAGACCTGAGGTTTCAGGGGCAAGTTAAGCAGCTCAAACCTCATGGTCATCCTGGACCTTTTAGCTCTTTGACTGCTACAGACAAGTTGGTCATCCTTCATGTTTGGCAGGTGGGGGCCACTTTTCCATCCTTACTTCTTAGGGGCAGACACTCCTAGAGTCTGAGAGCCCAGCATGTGTGAGGTCGGAATGGTCTGACCACTTCCTCTCATCTCAGGAGGCCAATAGTGTCATTTCTCATAGATCAAGCGACTCATCAGAAAGTACATCCAAAAGGAAGAGACCATCAACTTGGTGGTGGTCCCTAGTAATGTGGACATTGCCACCACGGAGGCTCTGAGCATGGCAAATGAGGTGGATCCTGAAGGAGACAGGACCATAGGTGAGGAGCAGGGATTGAATTCAGGGGCCAGCCTCTGCACCTACTGAGGATGGAAATTTATGTCTAGTGGGAGCAACAGGTAAGGTCCCACTAAGGCATGAGGAGTTGAACTCTGCTTGGCTGTTGAGGGTCAGAGTTGGCCTGGTTCCCCAATGTTTCAGAAGTTGCAGAAGGACTAGGTCATTGGTAGGGCAGATGGGTCATGCTATTCTTTGGGAATCGAGGGAGGAGGAAGCAAAGCAGGTGTCTATAGAGGACACAAGGATGAATGGTTTTGTTTTCTATGCCAGGAGGTGGTGAAGAAGGTCTGGAGTGCCAGTAGTGCAGGCAGCACTCCTGTCCTCCTGTGCCTGCCTCACGAGGCTTTCTAGCCGGGGCTGTGTCTACCCTCTACCCTGAGATGCTGGGGCCTGGGGGCTTCCCCTCCACCTTGTGTGTCGCCTGATCAGAACTATCTGCTGCAGGAATCTTGACGAAGCCTGATCTAGTGGATAAAGGGACTGAGGACAAAGTTGTGGATGTGGTTCAAAACCTGGTGTGCCACCTGAAGAAGGGCTACATGATTGTCAAGTGCCGCGGCCAGCAGGACATCCAGGAGAACCTGTGCCTGACTGAGGCCTTGCAGAGGGAGAAGGCCTTCTTTGAGGACCACCCACAGTTCAGGTACAGTGTGCCACCTGTCCCTCGCAATGCTACTGTAGACATTGTGCACACAGGGAGATTGCCCCTTGAGGGCAGATATCCAGGGTGTGTGTGAGTGGAGGTGATAGTGAGTGAGTGACTGTGTGTGGCAGTGTTTGCTCTCTGGCCTGCAAAAATAAAAGGAGAGTTCACAAAGTAGTACCTTCCGCTCCCCTCTCCCCGCCAAAATCAGTGAAAATGAATAATTTCAGTGGTCATATCCAAGGTGAAATACTTTGAAAAGACTGCAGATTGGTTTGGTCTTCAAGGAAGTGCATGCAAAGGTGGAATCCTTAGGGCATCAGTCCTTCCAGAGGGCTGCAGGAAGGCGGTTTCAGGATATCAGGTGTGTCACACAAGCCTTGACACATGGCAGCACTCTATACACATCCTGAGAGTGCAAGAACCTGAGGTCCATGGACAGAGAAAGGCACTGGGTTACACAGCAGCTGGAATATTTTCCAGTCTCAGGAAGGAGGAGGTTCCCCTGAGAGCTGCAGCTTGGTGGGGCCTTGAGGATGTAATGCAGAGCAAGGTAGCTGGTTACAGTGAGATTGATGCTGCATGATCCCACTGAGTGACACTGTTGGGTAGTAGCCTCACAGAGGTAGGATGCAGGATGTGTGTAATGGGGAGACTTTCATCTCTGCAGATGGGAAGACTCTGGAGAAGGACGGTAGTGATTAAAGGAAATTGATGTCACTAACCTGCCACTAAAATAGTTGAAATGTTGCATTTTCCCTCATATATATTTTACCACAGATTTTTTTTTTTTAATTATGAGTGTGGAGACAGAAGTTTGGCGTGAGTGTACTGGCACAGCCAAGCCATGGCTCATCCTTCTGCTGCCTGTCACCCTGAGTAATCCTGTCAACCCCAGAGCAGCCTAAAACAGCCCACCCTGGATGAACAGATCCAGGAAGTGTGAGAGGCTGCACGGCCTCCTCCCTGCATGTGTCATGATTTACATTCCAGGCCAGAGTGAATCTCCCTGCACCGTGCTCCTCACACACATGTGCATTTGTATGAATACCTACTCCTGTATTCCGAGGGTACTTGGCTAACAAGCTGGTGTATGTGCATATGTGTGTGTGTTTGCCATGGAAACATGTTTTCCTGTGGTTATGTATGTGTGCATTTTGGACCTGAGAGTCCTGTCTTGGGACACTTTCTTGTTGTGCTGGAAGGGGTCATGCAGCTTATATCAGAGCTCGCTCCCTGCAGCCGTGACTCAATGTATGATGGGCATCAGTCATGTGTCAACAACCCTGTTGGAAACAACTGAATTGTGCTTGACTCCCCCATGCACAGATGTGTGTGTGTTTTGTTCACATCCCAATGGAAATTTCTCTGTCCCCATTCAGGGTGCTGCTGGAGGCCAGAAAGGCCACTGTCCCCTGCCTGGCAGAGAGACTGTCTGAAGAGCTCATTGCACACATCTGTGTAAGTGCAGGCAGAACCCTGTGACACCATACCGAGCTCCATGCTGTGCACCGGGAGACCTGAGCCATGGGAGGGAGAAGCCCTGGGCTGGGGCTGATTCCACCTCCACCACAAGTTCCGGGGTTATGGGTTTACTTGGTCAGAATCTGAGTTTGCACAGCAGACCCTCGTGAAGGCAGCTTGTGGGCATTGAGGCTCAGCAGAGGTCTTCTCTCCCCTCTGCCCAGAGCCAAGGTTGCAGTCCTCCTCCCTGACCCCATCGTTTGGGTAGAGAGCAGGGTGATGTCTTGCAGACCTTGATGGTGAAAGCAGAGCTCTCCACGGCAAGTGCAAGAAGCACTTGCTCCCCTGTCCGACTCCCAGCCTTGCCCAAGCTTGAGGGATTCATTTTTCCCCTGCCCTGGGTCTAGCTCCTGAATCTGAGTGCAGGTTTTTTTTCCCTTGCAGCCCCATTTGGTATCCTTGCTGCTGGCTTCTCAAACCCCTGGGTGACCCCTGAGTCCTAGTTTCAGCCTCTTAGTGTCTTTATTATCTTGTCATCTGGCACATGGGAAGGGACAGCACTAACATCCCTGCCAGCGTAGTCTGTGCTGCCGTCCATGCTGGCCACACGGCTAGAAACAGCAGTCTCTGATAGCTTTTCTCCTGCTGTAAACAGCATAAAAGCTACAGAATTTCAAGTTGTTCCAACTGCCACTCTTCCTGAAAAAGAACATCAGACTGCTTTCCCTGCAGAGAGCTCATGGCAGGTGAAGAAGGAGTCCCTCCTTGGTGGCTCCATGATACATGGCTCATGGCTGTGAACAGGAACATGGCACATTGTGCTTCTCTGCCCCAGGGAAATTATGAAAGGCCACCGAGTTGTCACATGGACCAGGCAGCCCCTCAGCAGAGCAGGCCCAGGGCCTCCTTTCCATTCCTAGTCCGTATTTATATGTCCCTTTTTCTGTCCTTTCCCCAGAAATCTCTGCCACTATTGGAAAATAAAATCAAGGATCTTCACCAGAAAACAACAGATGAGTTACAGAAGTTTGGCATGGACATCCCAGAAGATGACAGCGAGAAAATGTTCTTCCTGATAGAGGTAAGGAGAGCCGGTGGGCTGGTGTTGGAGACTCCCACATTGCTGTGCTCCAGCGCATCCTGTGACTGATACCTGCTGTCTGCGCTGACCCAAGACTCCCCCAAGCACACTTTGCCCACTTAGCATGAGAAGGGTACTAGCAGAGTCAGAGGTCAGGGAGTCCTGCTTGTGGCAGGGACTCTGGGAAGGGCCTCACTCAAGATCCCCAGGGCATTTTGTCCCTTTGCCTCATCTTTCCCCTTGTCCCAGAGTGGCCATGTGAAGAATGACTCACCCAGCCTCAAGGCACACGAGATTTCCAAGCCACCCAGACCCCAGCATTTGAAGTATCTCTGCTGATGCGATGTTCCTGCTCTTTACAGAAAATCAATGCCTTTAATCTGGACATCAATGCTGTAGTTGACGGGGAGGAAAGTGTAGGCACTGAAGGCTCCAGGCTGTTTGCCAAACTCCGAAGGCAATTCCAGTTGTGGAGTTCCATGATTGAGAAGCATTTTTCAAAGGGTGAGTGTTTTAATTTGTGCTGCTGTAGCAAAATCTTAGCAAGGGTAGTTTATAAAGGGCAGAAAGTCATCGCTCTCACTTCTGGATTCTGGGAAATTCAAGGTCAAGGTACCAGTCCGTTGGATGTCTGATGAGAGCTAGGTCTCTACAGCTGTTTCTAAGGTGGTGATTTCTGGCTGTAGCGGAGGACAGGCCAGCTCCTTCTCACTTCTTTTCTACACCCATGCGGTCTATGAAGGTGCAGCCCTTGAAACCTGACATCTTGAAGACCCACCTTTGAATGGCACCACCCTGTGGGTGAAGTTTTAACATTTGAATTTGGGGGACACATTCAGACCACATCAGCAAGTCGGGGTGCGGTCCAACATCTGTGTGGGCTATGAGGACACAGAGAAGCGTGATGTGAGTCCCAGGAGTGTGTCTGAGATTCCTTGCCTGGGAAATATGCAGAATGGGGGAAACCATCAAGGCAGGAAGCAGAGGCGTAGGGAACTAAACATACTCCCTAGGTTCTTTGTCAGTAAATGAGGCCAACAGGAACCTGTAACTGATTTCAAAGGATATGTAATATACTGGTCAGCTTTCCCATTGGTTGGGAAGAAAATAACCTGACACACAAGTGGAAGGAGGAGAGGTCTACTTGGCTCTCAGTTTCAGAGCTCAGCTGGCTCCAAGGCAGAAGCATCATGGTGGAAGGGCATTGCAGAGCTTCCCATAATGGCTGGGAAGCTGAACACCAGGGAAGAGAGAGCTATGGCTTCCACAGGCGTACCCAGCCATCCACTCTCCATCTAGGCCACTGAGGGATGCGGTGCCCCCAGGATCTAAGCACATCTTCGGGAGCCTCTTAATCCTTTCTATTAACAAGAAGCCTGAAGGAAATCATCCATCAAACCATCATGGATTATCTGCCAAGCAATTTTGCTGTTCTTCAAGGAACTTGATAGGAATCCATAGTCCTCCTTAATCAACAGAGGTTCAGAGTAATAGAGTAGTAGTTTTCTTTGCTTTGAGTAAAGAACATGGACCACGCTGTCTTTTGGGTTGGGTACACTGTCAGATCCACTTGTCATTGGCAGAAGGCATGGAGGGTGGATGGAATAAACGGCCTGCAACTCTACTCCTAGGAAGCCCCCAGGGACCCAGAGACACATGGACACACAGCTCACACAGGGGTAGTCAAGGCAGCATCATTCATGGTACTTGAAGGTGCGTTCAACACCAGGGTCCCTTGGCTGATAACTGCCAAATGTGTGTGTGTTTGCTTGGGCTATTCCAATGCACCTCTGGCACTGGGTGATGAGACAAGGAGGAGCTGCTCCCGCAGTTCTGGGTGCCAGTGATCCAAGGTCAGGGAGGCTGCACGGTTGGAGCTGTCTGAGGCCTCGTTCCTTGCCATGTCGCAGCACCTTCTCGCCGCGTCCTTGGTCTTCCCTGGGCGTGTCTACGTCCTGGTCTCCATTCTGTGTACGGGGACCTCTCAGGCCACATCAGAGCCCATGCTAAAGACCTCATTTCCCCTTACTTTCCATGGAGTTCCTGCAGGTGGCGCACAGTTATTCTGTGGAATGCTAGCATGGGAATGACTAGAGGCTATAACACTGCTCAGGGTGACATTTTCAGCAACAGAAAACCCGAAGCACTGATACACGCTGAACATGGCTAAACCTTGAAAACTTGATGTGGGATGAAAGAAACCAGTCACAAAAGACCACACAGCCTGAGATTCCTTGCCTGGGAAATGTGCAGAATGGGGAAGCCACTGAAGTGGGAAGCGGAGGAGGGGCTGAAGGACTAGAGCAAGGAGATGGGGAGGGACTGTGCAGTTGTGGGGCATCTTCCAGGTGATGGGGACGTTCTGGAATCGCTGGAGGCATTGCACAACTCTGTGAAGATACCAAAAATCATGAGATCTTCCACCTGAGTAGGATAAATTTTATTGTATGTGAATTATCTCAGTAATGTAATTCCTCTGAGAAAATCTCTCCTGTCCATAAACGGGAACCTGGCTTCCCATTCCGGAGGGGGGAGGCAGGCCCTTCTGTGTCTCCACCCTGATGGGGTCTCCCACAGCCCAAATCACACTCCAAGGTTCCAGCTCACTGTGTGGTCCCTGTGAAGAGGGACATTTCCTGCTCCTGCTACAGCTTAGGAGCAGGCAGCCAGCAGGTGGCTCCAACTGTTTCTTAAGGTCATCCTGTGTCCTAGAGGCCACTGTTGTGGGTAAGGAGCATTCACTATCCTGGTCCTTTGTCTTTGGTAAAATCTAACGGGGTTTATGAAATTCCATAGTCCCGTGCTTCTCCAAAATTCATCTTCCTTGATTTCTGCTCTCTGCCTCTGCCCTTGCCAGCGCGGACTCAGTGGAAGCAAATTATCTTGAGATTGATTTCTTTAGGCCAGTCCCAGTGTAGTTTTCCATTTGAAAACCAAGAATTATTTTTGATTTCGCTGCTCATGTTTTAGAAAAATCTGCAAGATGTTTTTTTTTTAGTAGCACAGTTTTCTTTTCTTTTTTTTTAAATTTTATTTAAAAGGAAAAAGAGAAAAACACAAAACAAAACAAAGCGGTGTAAGGATACACGTAGTACAGAACTACAAAAAAAAAAAAAAGTAAGAAATCACCTGTTAATAGATTACATATTATCATCTTAGAAATAGTTGCACAAATCACAGTATCAAAGAATACAAAGTGGACATTCAAACAGTGAGACTGCCAACAGCTGTGTTCAATGATCCAAAAACATTAATATAGTCAGCTATTTAACACCCCTAAACACACTTGCTGTTATATCCGTTAGAGCTCTTTTTTTTCCCCTCTCTTTTTTACAACAAAATTTATACATTTTGGACTTTATTACTCCTTAGTTCTTATTACTTTTTTGGGGGGGGAGAGAATACAGTCAAATATGGCAAAACAAAGCTGTCAGTCAAAACCAAGGATAGACATAGCACATGATGTAGAACAGAGTACAAGGTTATCAACAATGGTTATCAACGATGTCTCTTGTTTCCTTAAAAAGAATTGTCTATCTCATTAGATATTATAAAGTTGAACGAAACAGTAAAGAACAAGACCAATAAAACTTAGGCATTGTAAACATTACAGGACTTCCAAAGGAGACAATAGTCAAACCAGAATGGGCATCTTAGTGAATCTTATTGCCTTCAAAGTAGTTGCCTATACCCTCAAACTTGATACTATCATACAGAATGGAACAGAGTCTAATCAGTCAAAACAAGATCATGGGAGTATTACAGGACTTCAAAACAAGTTAATAGGAAATCAAAAAAAGTTACTATTATATATCCTGCTAATTTTTAAAATTTTTCCCCTTAATTAAAACAAACATAAGAAATAACTAAATAAGGGAGAGATTGAGATAAAACAGGACATAACAATATAACAATAGAGGTCAAAGCATGACTGTTTCAGCAACCTAGTGCTTCACCAAATAACCCGACTTAATAGTAGTTACCATACTGTCTGTCTTTTCCCTTGAAATATTTGGATAAAACTTCATATACTATAGCTTCAAATATTTACATATCAAGAAGCCCAGAATAAAGCCTTTCTAATTAATAAGTGAAAACTTTATAAGGCTTCAAGGCCACATAATGGGGAATCATGATTACCACATATTTTTATATATTTGAATCATTACTTATATTAGGGAAACTATTCGGTATTCACACATGCGAGATTGATTTATTTCACTTAGGAATGTGGTCTCAAGCTGCACCCATTTATTGATAAATATATCAATGTGATCCTTCTTTATAGCTGAATAATACTCCATTGTATAGAAATACCACAACTTTTTTATCCATTCCTCAGTTGATGGACACTTGGGTTGTTTCCAAGATCTGGCGATTACAAATTGTGCTGCTATGAACATAGGTGCACATATATCACTGTGGTATGATACTTTCAGTTTTTCTTGGAATATGCCTAGAAATGGAATAGCTGGAATAAATGGGATTTCCAATCCCAACTTTTTGAGAAATCTCCAGACAGACCTTCACAAAGGCTGTACCAGTCTACACTCCCACCAACAGTACAGGAGAGTTCCTTTCTCCTCACAGCCTCTCCAGCATTTGTTGTTGGTTTTCTTGATCCTGGCCATTCTTTCAGGAGTGAGATGGTATCTCAGTGTGGTTTTAATTTGCATTTCTCTAATGACCAATGATGATGAACATTTTTTCATGTATTTATTTGCCATTTGCATTTCTTCATCTGAGAAGTGCGTATTCATCTCAGATGCCCATTTTTGGATTGGATCTTTGAATTTTGGAGGTCTGAGTTTTTTTAATTCTTTATATGTTTTAGACAAGAGTCCCTTGTCTGAGAGAGAGTTCACTAAAATCTTTTCCTAGTTTGTGGGTTTTCTTTTCACTATGCTGGAGATTTCTTTTGACATGCAGAAACTTTTTAATAAGAAGTGGTCCCAGTTATTGATTCTGGGAAGTATTTCCTGTGCGGTTTGAGTCCTGTTCATGAATTCTCTACCTACTCCTATGTCTCCAAGGTTTCTACCCAATTTGTCTTCCAATAGATTTAGTGTTTCTGTTTTAATATTCAGGTCTTTGACCCATTTAGATTTTAATTTAGTACATGGTGATAGACATGGGTCTAGCTTTAGTTTTCAGCAAATGGAGAGCCAGTTTTTCCAGCACCATTTATTAAAGAGACTGTCGTTCTTCCAATGAACCTGCTTGGCTCCTTTATCAAAGATAAGGTGGTTGAGTGTGTTTGTAGTTGTGGTTGTATCTTCTATTCCATTGATCTTCGGCTCTGTTTTGATTCCAATACCACGTTGATTTTACTACTGTTGCTTTGTAGTATAACTTCAAGTCAGGGATTGTGATGCCTCCTGCTTTGTCTTTGCTGCTTAGAATTGCCTTTGCGATTATAGGTCTCTTCTGGTTCCAGATGAAATTTAGGAGTGATTTCTCTAGATCTATAAGGTATGTTGATGGTATTTCTATTGGGATTGCATTGAATCTGTATAACAGTTTTGGGAGAATGGCCATCTTCACAATGTTTGTTCTTCCTATCCATGAGCAAGGGATGTCTTTCCATTTTCTGAGATCATCTTCAATTTCCTTTTTCAGTGTATTATAATTTTCACTGTATAAGTCTTTCACTTCTTTCGTAAGAGTAATTCCTAAATATTTCATTTTTTTGCTTGCTAATGTGAATAGTCCAGTTTCTCTTATTTCCCTCTCTGTGATTTTGTTGTTTGTGTATAGGAATGCTATTGATTTCTGAGTATTGATTTTGTATCCAGCCACATTACTGAATTTATTTATTGTATCTAAGAGTCTTTCAATGGAGTTTAGGGGGTCTTCTATGTAGAGTATCATGTCATCTGCAAACAATGATAATTTAACTTCTTCTTTTCCTATCTTTACCCCTTTTATTTCTCTTTCTTGCCTAATTGCTCTGGCTAGTACTTCCAATACTATATTAAATAGCAGTGGTGATAAAGGACATCCTTGTCTTGTGCCTGATTTTTAAAGTAAAGGCTTTCAATTTTTGGCCATTTGGTATGATGCTGGCTGTTGGTTTGTCATAAATGGCCTTTATTATATTGAGGTAAAGACCATCTATTCCAATTTTCTGTAAAGTTCTTACCATGAATAAATGTTGGACCTTATTGAAGGCTTTTTCTGCATCTATAGAAGTGATCATGTGATTCTTATTTTTGGCTTTATTGATATGGTGGATTACATTTATTGATTTGTGTATGTTGAACCATCCTTGCATTCCTGGGATGAATCCCACTTGGTCATGGTGTATAATCTTCTTGATGATTTGCTGCATCCTATTTGCCAATATTTTATTGAGGATTTTTGCATCTGTGTTCGTTAGGGAGATCGGTCTATAGTTCTCTTTTTTAGTTGGGTCTTTCTCAGGTTTTGGTACTAGAGTAATATTTGATTCCAGGAATGACTTAGGAAGGATTGCTTCCCCTTTGATTTCATTGAATAGTTTGAGGAGTGTCGGCATTAGGTCTTCTTTGTATTTCTTGTAGAATTCTGCAGTGAATCCATCTGGGCCTGGGCTCTTCTTGGTGGGTAAGGACTTAATTACATTTTCAATTTCATTAGCAGAGATTGGGTTATTCAACAGTTTTACATCCTCTTGATCTAGCTTTGGTACTTCATATGTTTCTAAGAATCTGTCTATTTCTTCTGTGTTATCAAACTTTTGAGAGTAGAGGTTTTCGAAATAGGTGTTGATGATCTTCTGTATTTCTATTGGGTCTGTAGTGATTTCACCTTTTTCATTTCTTATTGCATGAATTTGAGCTTTTTATTCCCTTTTTTTAATAAGGTTGGCTAGGGGCTTATCGATTTTATTTATTCTTTCAAAGAACCAACTCTTTGATTCGTTGATTCTTTGGATTGTTTTCTTAGTCTCTATTGCATTGATTTCTGCTCTGATTTTTATAATTTCCTCTCTTCTTTTGGCTTTGGACTTGATTTGCTCTTCTTTTTCTAGCTGTTTGAGGTGTAGCATCAAGTTATTTATTTGTATTCATTCTGTTTTCCTGATGTGGGAACTCAGTGCAATAAATTTTCCTCTCAGGACGGCTTTCATTGCATCCCACAGATTCCAGTAAGTTGTACCTGCATTTTCATTTTCTTTTAGGTATTATTTAATTTCTTCTTTAATTTCTTCTGTGACCCACTGATTGCTCAAGAGTATGTTATTCAGTTTCCATATGTTTGCGGGATTTTTGCAGTATCTTTTATCATTAATTTCTAATTTCAGAGCGCTATGATCTGATAACATGCAAGGGATGATTTCAACTCTTTTGCATTTGTTTAAATATGTTCTGTGAGCTAATATATGGTCTATTTTAGAGAATGATCCATGTACTGCTGAGAAGAATGTGTATTCTGATGTTGTTGGGTGGAACATTCTGTATATGTCTATCAAACCCATTTGTTCACAGGTGTGATTCAGTTCTATTATTTCTTTGCTCATTTTCTGTCTGGTTGATCTGTCCCTTGGTGTCAATGGCGTATTAAGGTCTCCTGTTACAATTTTGTTACTGATATTTTGAGTTTTCATTTCTGTTAATTATTTTATATAACTGGGTGCTCTGGAGTTTGGTGCGTATATATTTAAGATAGTTATCTCTTCCTCTTGGAGTTTTCCCCTTACGAGTATGTAGTGACCTTCTTTGTCCTTTATGGTCATTGTTGGTTTAAAGTTCACGTTGTCTGCAAACAGAATAGCTACTCCTGCCTTTTTTTTGGATTCCTGCTGCATGAAGTATTGTTTTCCATCCTTTGACTTTCAGTCTGTGAGTATCCTTCTGGGCTAGATGGGTTTCCTGTAAACAGCATATCGTTGGACTTTGTTTCTTGATCCATTCTGCTAGTCTGTTTCTTTTGATTGGTGCATTGAGACCATTTACATTAATGGTTATTACTGTTAAATGCTGGTTTATTCTTGGAATGTTATCTCTCTGCTGTTGCATCTTTATCTTTCTGTTCTGTTTAATTATTTGCTTTGCTTAGTGGTTTTTTTCCTTTGTGTATCTAAACTGTCTTTCAATATTTTTTGCAGGGTTGGTTTGGTGTTCATGAAGTTCTTCAGCTGTTCTTTGTCATGGAAGTATCGTATTTCACCATCAATTTTGAATGATAATTTTGCAGGATACATCAGTCTAGGTTGGAAATCATTTTGCTTTAGGATCTGGAATACTTCACTCCATGCTCTTCTTGACTTTATTGTTTGTGCTGAGAAGTCTGCTTGTGATCCTCATAGGTTTTCCTTTATAAGTGATCTGTCTCTTCTCTCTGACAGCTTTTAATAATCTATTCTTGTGTTGGATTTCTGGGATGGTGATTATTATATGTCTGGGTGTAGTTTTATTTTGGTTATGACTATTTGGAGTTCTATATGCTTCACTGATCCTGATGTCAGTTTCTGATCTCATGCTTGGGAAATTTTCAGCTATTACTTCTCTAAATATCCTCTTGACATCCTTTATGTTGTCTCCTTCTTTTTCATTAATCCCTATCATTCTTATGTTCTTCTTTGCATTATCTTGCAGTTGTTGAATTGTTGTTTCCTGATTCCTTGTTATTTTTAAAAGATCTTTCCTTTCCTGTTCACTAGCTGCAATCCTGTCTTCAAGGTCTGAAATTTTATCTTCACTTTCATTAAGGCAGTTTTTACAACTTTCAGTGGAGTTTGTTATTTTCTGTATATCTCTGTGCATCTGCATTATGTATTCTGTTTGTTTCTTATATTGCTCGTCTAGGGATTCTATCTTTTTGTTTAGTTCCTCCAATTTTTTATCTGTGTTTTCTTTAGATATATTCAGAATCTCTTTCATTTCTTTTATCATTTCTTCTTTTATCTGGGAGATTATTTCGAGTTTGAATTTCTTTAGAGCTTCCTGGAGTTGCTTGTCAATTTCAGTAGCTATTGTGTCCGATATTTGAGGTGGATGGCATATATTTTCTTCTATATACATTGCTCCTAGGGTTTCTTGAGATGGGCTGGAGGTTTGAGGTTGTAATTTGGTCTTTTGTTTTGTCATTTTCCTATATTTCTGTGTTTCAAGTGTTATTTGAAAGCTTCCTCAGGATCTGTTGAAAATCCCCTTCTATGTTTGCAGCTACTGAGACTCTGGCACCACACTACCCCAAGCCACTGGGCCTGCAGAACCAATGGCCCTCCTCTGCCTGCTCAGAACTCCGCAGTTCAGACAAGCTGGGCCTCAGGGACACTGTATGCCCACCTGCCCCTTGGAAGCTCCACAGCTCTCCAATCGCAGCTGGGTTAGGGTACTCACCACAGGCCGTGTTGCCTCAGGAACCTGCAATCCCTCCCTGCTTGCTGAGATATCCACAGTCCTCCAGACACACGGGGAGGCCAATGCAGGCGCCCCAGATCCGCCCAGCCCCTCCTCTGCACACCGATGGCTAGGTGCGGCAGTCCGAAACAAGCTGGGCTCCGGGGATAGTGTGGGTCCGCCCACCCGTCGGAAGCTCAGCAGTTCTCCAAGTGCAGCCGGGATGGGGAGGTGGATGTAGAGGCCTCAAAGCCACTTCTCCAGTTCACTGCACCCGGTAGCCTGGAGGGTCCGGAACAGTCTGAGATTTGGGCAGAGTGTGCTGAGCACTCATCACAGGCCGCGGTGCCTCAGGAACCTGCGATCTCTCCCTGCTTGCTGAGATATCCACAGTCCTCTAGACACACGGAGAGGCCGATGCAGGCACCCCAGATCCGCCAAGCCCCTCAAGATGTTTTAGTAAAATAATGCAAATGTGCCTTTTCCTGCTATAGGTTTTGATGGTTTACAAAAAGAGATCTGGAAATTTGAAAACCAGCATCGTGGCAGAGAGCTGCCTGGGTTTGTGAACTACAGGACATTTGAGAAAATCATCAAAAAGGAACTCCAGGCCCTGGAGGAGCCGGCTGTGGACATGCTACACCAGATCACCGGTGAGTGGCTCCCATGGTGGCAGGGAAAGCGGAGAGTGAAGCAGAATGGAACTTCAGAGCTGTGCCCTAGGTGTTTGCTGCATGAAACCTGTTTTCTGCTGCCCCGGATGCCAGCCCGGGGTCCCAGAGTTTGTTTTCTTGATAGTAGCAGGAGCTGGTATATTACCCAGTGAGGGCTCAGTCCCCAAGGCTGTCCTCAGGTTCATAGCTCCATCCCAAGTCCTGAATGACCATCTATCAGTCAGGGTCTTATCAATGTGTTCTTGTATTTGATTAATTCCCTGACCATCACTGTGCTGATGAGACATCTAGGGCCTGAGTCACTGTGGGGTGGGATTGTGCCACCCTCCCGGAGTACTTGGGCTCCATCTGGTCTTGGAAACTTGGAAGTTTCCTTTGCTGAAGTGAGGAAGTTGGGAACGAGAGTCTCTGGATTTTCATCCTGACCTGGTCCATCTGGCGACCAGCCTCATTCCAGCCATCCAAGCCCACCATGGTCAGTCTCTTCCTTAGAATGCAGGGTGCTTCCATCACAGAGGACATGCAGAGACATCCTGTGCTGTGTCAGGACACTACCAGAGCAGAACTGGGGGCTCGTGCTGCAGGTCACTCTGCCTCATGCCTGTGTTGCATCCACTGCCAAAGGCTCTGCTGATGGGGTGGCTCTGAAGAGTTAGGTCAGAGCCAAAATGCCTGTGCCAGGCGTGAGTCCTCTGGGCTCTCCTAGGTATGGGGTGTCACTGTGGCCAGGGCATGATCGGAGCCCCCAAGGGAGACCTGAGTCTCATCTTCCACTCACCCCTTCTTAAAATATGTCACCTGTTGGATTGAATCCAATGGATGTCTCCTCTCAGGTGCTCCTTCCTGGCCTCCTCCCCAGACTCTGCCTCCCATTTCAGCAAAGCCCAGTCCTTCAAGGTTCCTCGAGGGACAGGGTCAGGGTGGCTTCAGACACCCCATGCCCAGTGAATCCAATGCACCTTTCCTCCAGGCCTCAGGACAACGCACCTGGCTCATTTCCATGCCATCATCACCTGCTTTTTTATGGCCAGAGGAAAGTTTGCCATCCTTATTACCTCCTAGTCATACAACAGAGTTGAAAATCAGTTTCAGAAAGTTGTGATCTGAACATCAATAAAGATGTGCCAGCATATTGATTCTCAGCAGTGTGATAGTAACACCCTGTAAGAAATCAGAATAGAGACATGGCTTCCAAAAGTAAGAACATAGGTGTGTTTCGTTTAAATAAGAACATGTCCTTGCAATTCTTTTTGAAGTGAAGAGTGCGGACACACAGATTTGGTTGATAAATTTAAGAACGGCATGATGGCTTTATTTTTTAAGTATTTATAGGTTTGTAATTTATAAGAAATGACTTTCTTGGAAACACAGTTTCTATCTGAATAAAACATTTAACGGGAAACAGAGACCGGCCAGGGGATATTTAGCTGTGAATCCTCCAGTGGGTTCTGACTTCACACAGCGCGGCTTTGTCTTCACTGTAACAGAGTAGGATGGAGAAGGGACTGATGAAGAGGCTGAGAAAGTAGAAAAAGAAGAAAGAGGAGGAGGAGGAAGAGGAGGAGGAAGAGAAGGGACAGAAGCCTGTTTCAGAGTTGCATGTGTGGCAGCCTAGGTGGGTATACAGGAGCCCGCCAGGCTGACTCGCCTTTCTCTCTTTGATCAGATATGGTCCGGGCAGCCTTCACAGATGTGTCTGAAAAAAACTTCACTGAGTTTTTTAACCTCTACAAAACCACCAAGGTAAAACCCATGACAAGCTTGTCATTAAAGAAGAAATATGTAGAACATGCACTTCTTGCATATGTTTGCATGCATTTCCCATTTACATTAGGAATCCTCTCCCCTGCCTGGTAATCTCCCTGCTGGTGCCCCAGCAAGGTCTGGTTAAAGCAGTGGGTTTGAGGTGACTCAGAAATGAAACCAGGAACCAGGAATCCCAGTCAGTGTAGACATGGGATAGCGGATAGGGGAGTGAGGAGCATGTAAGGGAGTGAAGACTCCATCAGGACTCTCGGCAAGGAGGCTCAGTACAGACACTGGACCAGATCAGAGGGAGGGGGGACAGGGACAGGTATGGCCCAAGTCCTGGCATAGAAGGGACTCAGGCTCTGCTGCCCTCCAGTCTGAGCTGAGGGTGGTTGTTTTACTGGCCCATGGCCCTGAATGGACAAGAGATGTGTCCTGAGGTAGGAGTGACAAGAGGGACATGGTCAGGACCCACCTCAGCAAGGTAGAGGGTGTGGATGTTTTCTGGGCAAAACTGTTCTCCCCGGTGGTTCTAAAAGTTGGGGGAGCACGTGTGGGATGGGATTGACCCCAGGCGATCCCTTCCTGCCCTCATGTGTTCCCCTCAGACCCACAAGGGAGCAAAGAGAGAAACTGATTTCTGGCTAAGGACAAAACAGATAAGGCCCAGCCCTGGGTGGGATCTCTTCATCACATTGTTGGTGGGGACATTCTGGTCGGGTGGCCGCTCCTGTGGGCTCACGGGTGAGCTGTTTCTCATGGTTTTGGGTCCACCTCCTGGGGGATCTTCAGTCATCTTTCTCTTCCCCCAGAACAAAATCGAAGATATTCGATCAGATCAGGAAGAAGCGGCGGAGAAGGCGATCCGCACTCACTTCCAGATGGAGCAGATCGTCTACTGCCAGGACCAGGCTTACCGAGGTGCGCTGCAGAAGATCAGAGAGGAGGAGGCCAAGGAGGAGAAGCAGAAAAAAGTATTTCAGTCTTCAGAGACCACTGCTATGGCTGAAATCCTCCAGCACCTGAATGCCTATTGCCAGGTGCGCATGCTTATGTCACAGACCCCAGGGGCTGAGTCCTTTCCTTCTGAGAGCCCTCCATCTGGGGTCATGGGGTGCCAGGTGGAGCTCTGTGTGGCCCCTGGAAGCAGCTCCACCTCAGCTAGACAGAGATGCTGCGGGCTTAGAGGCCCCCACTTCCGGCCTGGACTGGTGCATGGTTCCCGCCCAGTGCCTTCATCTCTCTGAGCCTGGGCTTCTTTCTGAGTCCCCATCCCCAGGGCCAGCACCAGCATCATCCTGTCTGTCTCTAGGGACCTGAGCCTCACAGGCCTGTAAAAACAGGGCTGGTTGATATGTCTGGGCACAGTGTCACTCGAGTCAGAATTCTGTGTGCTGACCCATTCCTTCCTGACAGCTGTGTCCGGGTCCCTACCCAAGGCTTCTGTGTGTCCCGCTACTGTGAGCCACCCTATGCTGGTACCTTGTCTCCTCCCCTCCGTGGCCCTTGGGGGACAGGCCAGTCTAGCTCACTTGCTCCTCTCTTCTCTTACTGACCCTGCTGTAACTGTCCCTGGGTGCTGGTCACCTGCCTGGCTTCTTCCCAAGCCTGTGGCCCTTGCCATGTTCTCTGTGGTTCACTGCTGGACGAGATGGGTGACTATGCTGTCCTTACATCCCAGAGGAGAAAACTGAGTCACAGAGGGGCAGCCGAACTTGATGAGCCACACGTCAGAGCCCTGAGATCAATGTGTGTCTGAAAGGGTTCATGCCGGGGACAGATAGGCAGAAGAAGAGGCGTGGGGACTCAGGCTCCTGCCTGGGGCTGTCACAGCCCAAACCTGGGATTCTTCCCGGGGTGCAGGCATGTGCGATGTCCTTTTGGGCAGAGTGGGCCCCTCACTGTCTCAGAGCCTACCTCACTCTCTTCCTTCCAGCATCCAGATGGTGGTCAGGGAAGCCAGGGACAGAGGCCATCACCAGGGACAGAGGCCACCCAGGTTGGCAGGTCCTTCTCTGTCCATGTGGAGCCCCTTCTGCCTCCAGCACGGAGAATGCTTGAGTGTGAACCCAGACCAAGATCTCCCTCCCTGGATCCCTGGGTCTTCTGATGCTCGCATGTCACCATCAGGGTCCCTTCCTTATGCTTGCCACTCAACACTTCTGTGATCTGTCCCTTCTTCCAGGAGGTTCACAGCCGCATCTCCACCCACATCCCCTTGATCATCCAGTACTATGTCCTGCAGTTGTTTGGCCAGCGGCTGCAGAATGCCATGCTGCAGCTGCTTCAGGAGAAGGAGAACTGCACCTGGCTCCTGAAGGAGCGGAGCGACACCAGCGAGAAGAGGAAGTTCCTGAAGGAGCGGCTGACCCGGCTGGGCCAGGCCCGGCGCCAGCTCGCCAAGTTCCCTGGTTAACCCAGCTCCCAAGCCTCGGGAGGAGGCCGAGCCAGGGTGATGTAGTCGCTTAGCAGATGCTCAGTAGGCAGAGGTAGAACGAGATCTCTTCTTTTTCTCCAGTAGCATGTAGGGACCGAAAAGAGTTAGGAGAATGGTTTGATTTCTGGCTGTAAGAGGACAGTCTCATGTCAAAGTGTGGGCTGCAGAATGAAGGGAAGGTGCCACCGTCACGAGGGGGTCAAGGGCGTCACTCACCTCCCCCACTCAACTTTTGTGCATCAGGAGACGGCCTCCAGCTCAGTGCCGGGAAAGGCTCCTTCCTGGTCTGTCTGCAGTCTCCTCTGGAGCCGGCTTGTAGGAATGGTCTGCTGCTCTTAGAAGCTGGGCCTCTTCTGTTTGAATAAACATGTAATCCTTGTCTGCTGAGCTTGGTGTTTGGGAGGAGCCCAAGGGAAAGAGCAGAAGGAACAGGTGGTACAAAGTGCTGGGCACCAAGCTGTCCTCAGGTGCACTGAGAAAGGAAGGAGTCAGAGCAGGGTCCTCCTGTCTGCTGGGACTGCAGTGAAGGGGATGTACTCAAAAAGATGCACACAGCACCCGTGTGCAGTGGGCACTGACCCTTCTAGGGCAGAGGAGCCAAGGGAAGACATTGAGTGCTGAGCTTTGCTGAGGCCCCCGGGGGGACAGTGGGCAGTATGTGAACAATTTCCTCCCCAGTGGACTGTCCAGTTCTCAGGCCTCCATGTGGCTGAGATGGGCAACACCAGTTATATGCCTGCATCCCAACCTCCCTCTAGCTCCAGGTCCACCCTGCCCAGGGCCTCCCCACCAGCAGACCTGTCAGAGGGCAAGATGACAGACAGGGTTCCGGAGACCATGCTCAGCAGAGGCCCTGACACTCCTTCTGAGGAAGCCCTGGGGCATCGAACTGAGGAGTCCAGGAGGGATGAGGAAGATGCAGAGATGAGAGCTGAGGACCCAGAGGTGGAAGACGCTGTCTCGGGGGCCACGTGCTGGAGAGTTGCTGTGGGGGTTGAGATCCTGCATACACAGAGCCTCAAAATACAGTAGCCACATGGGCACCACATACTTCCAGCAAGGGATTCAGGCTTGGGGCCACAGTGGACAGTGTCAGGGGGGGATTAAAGTCCTTGTCCCCTCTAGCTCACTTCTGACCCTGAGACTCTGTGATGGTAATCTTCGGACAGTTCCAGGATTTGTTCATGAAGGTGATGAGGGGAGAACATTCCAGCACTGCACAAGTCCCTGGCTGCAGCTGGGCAGTGCCCCATGCCTCTCTGGGAGTGCTCTGTCCCGAAATTCTCTACTTATTTATATGGAACTTCCTTAAACTGCAGTGGGAGGCTGGACTGCCCTTGTCTACAGTGGGCTTACTAACCTGCAGGGCTGTTTTAGAACTGCAAGGCAGACCCTCTCCTGCTGATGGCAGGTTCTACCCTGAAGCAGCCTCCAGCCCTCTTCAGTCCACGTCCCCTCTCCACCCTGGATGACAGCAGCAAAAGGGGGGCGGCTCTCAAGGGACACAGGGTCTTCTCTTGAGCCCCAGATAGCTCCCATGTGGGACAGGGAGAGCTGAGGACAGGGTCTTGCTTTCTTGGATTGAGGCATTAAGTCTTCAGGGACACGTTGCAGTGCACAATCCTGAGCTGGGTCTGCAGGTTCCTATGATGGGGTGGCATTATGGAGATCCTGAACACTGCCTGAAATTGGAGGTCCAGGATAAGGAACCTCTGAGATGCCCATCAGCTTAGAAGAACACACTCGGAGGGCCCTCTTGGGGGACAGTGATGAGGGCCAGGAGGCACGTCTCAGACCCCACACTGAGCTCAGGGATGAGCCCCTGCCTGCAGAAGAGGCTGTGCCTAGAGGTGCTGGAGTCCTCCTCCCATGCAGCTTCTGGCTTCCTGTCTGCAGACCCATCTTGCGGGCAGTCAGGCTCCCTCAGAGGTAGTGGCAGCTGGCCCTTAGTGGAGTTCAGAGGGGGATGAGAGGGCAGAAGGTGCAGCCACAGTGCAGGGAGCAGGAAACAGTGCGGTCAGGTCTCCTGACTGTCTATGATGGACTAAACATGTAAGTGATGCAGATGAGTGTGCACTGACCCGAGGGTGGAGAGCAAGAGAAAAACACAATGAGCAGACAGAGGAGGAACTCCTCTTCCATTTCAGTCAGCTGTCAGGTTCCCGGAGGCAGAGGGAGAGGGCAGTGCTCTTAGCAAAAGCGGTCTCAGCAACAGCAGTCCCACAAGCAGCTGCTCCCATAAAGACCCTGCTCAGAGGTGCCATGCACTCGCTGCCCCGCTAGGGGCCGGGATTTAGGTGTACTGGGAACTGGCAAAGCCCAGGGTTTCTTCTGGATTGTCCTTGGTAACAGTGTCTCATTTCCTGCACCCTTTCTGTCTGTGCCTGTGGCTCAGAGGTCCCCTGGCTGGGCTGGGGAAACACAGGGTGCTGCAGAGGAAGGGCCGTGGCTCACGGCACACAGCGCATGGTGTGGTCACACCTATGCTGTGTCCTGGTGCTGCTGCTCCTGAGATCCCCGCTATCTCAGTGAGGTTGTGTCCCTGCTATCTCAGTGAGGTGGGATCTTGCCCAGGCCCTCAGATAACTGGAGAATTTTAGCAGTGAACCCTGGCATGGTGGAGGCAGGGTCCTGAGTGTGTGGTCACTTCCGTGGGTTTCCTCCCAGATCCTCCTGCAGATACGTGGGTGAAATTCCTGCAGACCCCACTCTGCCAGCTACACTCCAGTCCCCGCGTGTGGAGGACCTACAGTCATCTCAGAGCACCGCCCACGCTTTGCACCTCTCTTGTAGACCCCAATCCCTGCCGAGCATGCGCTTTGCCCTTAGAAGTCTGCCTGTGTACACTGCGCACTGGGAGCGGGCCCAGCTCAGCCTCAGGGCTGGAGGGGGCTCTCCATGCCAGCGCCTTTCCTGTGTCATCACTTGGGCCAGGGAGGGTGCTGCTGTGCCCCTCATGGGTCAGGAAGCTGACACTCGAGAAGGAGAGGCTCTGTGGGGATGCAGGGGGCTGCCTGCCCAGTGCAGAGCCAGTCCTGGGTCATCTGGGGCAGGGCCCACCTGTCTACCTGTCCCTCTCAGCTCCTCAGTCCCTTCCTCCAGCAGGCGCTGTGATTCATCCCCCTAGGACCAGGGGCTCTGCCAGGGGCTCTGGGTTACAGTTGGTCAGTGCTTCGGGGTGCACAGCACAGTATGAGTACTTAGCTCCACTAGATGTGCACTTAAAATAGAGGGACAGTTCTATTTTATATTACAATAAAATTTTATTAATATTTAATGGAAAAAAAACTAAAGTGAAACCAGAAAAAAACAAAAGGCGATATTTCCAGGTGAGGGAGGGAGAGCTGTGCCACTGGAGTCCTGCATGGTGAGGTGGTCTGGATTGTTCTGCAACCTGATGACCAGCTACACGAGAGGAGGGAGAGGGACGGACTCAGGGTCAGGCTGGGCAGTCTCTGTCCCGCTGTAATCCCACCCCACCCCTGCTCTTGCTTCTTCTTGATGGTTGCTGCTGTGGAAACAGTTGTGGTCCTAGAAGTGGCAAGAGAGGGACAGGACAGAAAATTCCTGCAAGATCGCCCCTCTCTGAGCCTTTCCCAAGCCACAGCAGCCCACTTCCTGCCAGAGAAGCCCGAGGCGCTGAGCCCACAGCAGGACCCCACCCTGACTCTCCATCAGCCCCATGGGTGGTCCCGTCCTGTTTCTTTGCTCCTGGCTCTGGAACCTCTGGTGGGGCCACGTGACCTCTGCTGCAACACCTCACCCCCCACCCCCAGTCACCAACCCCAGCCTCCTACTCACCTCTGGGATGGGATCCCACTTAGAGGACTCTTCTCTGAGTCAGGTTGGGAGTCTGCACACTTGCAGGATGATGTCCGAGTCTGGCAGGTTGATGAGGGCATAGGCCACGAGCTGCTTGAGGCTCAGGTCTGGACACTGGCCAAAGTCTCCTGGGTACTGGAGCAACCAGGTCTCTCAGGGGCAGGCGGGTAGGAGAGTCAGGGGCTCAGCCTCCACCCCCCCCCATGCCCTAGCCTCCCCTGTCATGGAGCCTGAAGGGCACTGTCTAACAGAGCCCGACCTGCCTGCCAGCAGCCAGGCAGAAGTGTGGTGCCCAGGTGTCAGTGGTCTGCACCCCACACCACTTGGGCGGCCTCCATCCAGGATGGTGTGGGCTCTCCTAGCAGGGAATGGACTGCGTGTAGATGCATCCTCATGGGGACCTGCTCTGTGCCCAGCCCACCCCTGTCCCTTGTGCACAGGACCCCAAGCCCAGCTGTCTGACTTTCTCCTCCTGGAGGTCTAGCCTCAGATCCCAGCCCTCTAATGGGAATCAATGAACAGTGAGGGGCCCTGGTTTTTCTCAGCCTACCTGAAACCCAGTTCATCTGATGTATCCCACTCTGAAGGCAGGAGCCCTCCCTTCCCCTTACACCAAGGCTTCTCACCTCTTGTTCTGCTGGTCCTACTCAAGAGTTGGGACAGAAAAAGTGGTATCTAGAAGAGCCAGGAGGATGTGTACTTTGAGCACCCAAGTGTCCCCACCTGCCAGGATGTCTGGGGGACCATGTGATTGCAGGATGGCACTGCAGGCAGGGAAAGCTATGAGGTTTGTTCACTGTTATCTGAATGACAGGAAAGCATCAGGCAAGGTGCCCGCACACAGTAGGTGCTTTGTAGACATGAGTGTGGTGAGTGAGCCCAGCCAGCTGTGCCCAAATATCTCAGGATGCCACCAGGGTGCTGGATCTCCCTTAGGGGTCCCCATTCTGGATTCTCCTAGACAGGAATCTAGGAAAAGGAGGCCCTAGATAGACAACTCCTTCAAGGGGTGGGCTGTGGAAGGCAGACAGCTCTAGGACCCCACCCTCAGCCCAGAGTCAGACCTAGGCCAGGTGCTCTGGGGCTGCAGCCTACTTGGTCATGAATACACCATGTGAGGGGGAGTCCTCTGAGTACCTCATTTTCTTCAGGGTGTGAAATGGTGCAGGGCATCCCCAAGAGCCTCTGAGGAGTCCGTGGGTCCGTGACTTGGAGATAGGGCAACCTGAGGAAGAGGAGATCCAGCACCTGCTGTGGAGTGGCAAACCTCCTGTAGGTGGCCAAGAAGGCAGGCACAAAGGAGGAGTCTCCATGGAGATGGGTGGGCACCAGGTGGTTTACCAGCTTCTTCAGGGTGCCTGGATCCAGGCTCTTCATCCTGCCAGCCTCCTCCAGCTTTGGACTGGATTCCTTTTGGCCCTGAGGTGGCAGCGAGAAGGGAGGATTGAATCCTGGGAATGGGAGCCAGCTGCTCAGCTGCCAAGGGAGTCCCTGGGCTTCTACATAGCCACACATGCACACTCCCCAACACACCACCAGGCAGGCAGGGGACTGGGCCCTCCAGGCTGACTCTGACCTGTTCTAGGCTGTCCTGTGTCACCTTGGGGATTCTGGGGGCAATGTGCCTAAGGAGCTGGGGCTGATGGCTGCCCAAGCCTTTCTGCCCTCAAACAAGGTCCTTCCTCCACCAGCTCTTATGACCGGATCCTAGGCCACTTGGGAAACAGCAGGATAGTGTCCTCTTGGCTTTTGAGTCTCTGCACAAGGATCCAACCAGCCTTGGGGATTCTAAATTCTGTTTGGTGTGTTGTCAAGGAAGTGAGGTCACTTCCAGGGGTCCTACTCCCCTAGCTGCTTCTGCCATGTCCCCTCTAACTGCTAATGTCCCATGCCCCCCCCCCAACTGCTAGATGTCCCTTCCCAACCTGCTATTTGCAAAACTGGAAATACTCAAACCAACATGCTCTGTACTATTAACCTTGTGCAGACCCCAGGGCAGCCAGCTTCCCATGGGCAGAGACAGCTGGTTAAGAGCCTGGCCCTCCTTCTTTGTATTAAAGTTGAGGGGCTCAGGCCATAGATTAGAAGTTGCTGTGGGTGAAGCACAGGGTGAAGGATTCAACTGAGAGGCAGTGCGGTGTCTAGGGCTCTGGTTAGGTTTAGGGTGAACATCAGGGCATGTCCTTGAAGTAGGGCTGAGTGGTTATTGGAACAAGTTGGCTTAGGAAACTGGGCCTGGTTAGGTTAACATTTTTTATGTTAAGTTCAAGGTTAGGGTCCTATTTCTTTCTTTTTTTTTTTTTTTTTTTTGTCTTTTTCCTTTTTATTGGTACTGGGGATCAAACTCACGACTGCCTGCTTGCAAAGCAGGCACTTATGCCGCTGAGCTAAACCTCCAGCCCCTAGGGTCCTATTTCATGAGTGGGTCTTTAGGGGTAGGTGTACTGGGATTTTGTTCACTGCTAATTTTAATGCTAGTGTTTTGGTTAGTAGCCATATTGTATACTATTTTCATCCCTAAGCACATTGTGAAGAAAATTTTACTACAGTGTGAAGAAAGGTAATGCTAGGATAAGGGACAGTGTTAGTGAAGCTGAGGATGTAGGTGGCAAGGTTATTTTGAGGAGTGAGGTGAGTTTTGGGGATAGAGCAAGAGTGAGCGTTGGGTTTAGAGTTAGTTCAAGGGTTAGAATTATGGTTAAGATTAGGGTTAGTGTTAGGCTTTAACAGCATCATCATAGTGTTCGTGTTTCAGGTTTAGGGTTACCATTGTTGTTAGTGGTTAGGGTTAAGGTTAGGTTAGAGCTAAATCTAACAAACTGGTTTTGTATATTTACTTGTGAGTCTGTGCAAGGTCCACATCCTCTGTCTGGAGATGGGCAGCAGACCCAAAGTAAGTGAAACTCTATGGGTTACTGGTCCTGGCTGAGGTCTGTAGTGGCTTGTGATGCTGTGATGCCTTAAAGGACAGGATAAAGTCACAGTTTAGGATGCCTTTACTCCCACATTAATTAACTAAATAAAGACTGGAGCTGCAGGCATTTCACTCCTGCAGTGAAAGACAACTTAGTAAAATACTTCTCCTAATTAACATAAGATAGTTCTAAATTAAATTAACACTGTTGCTTGGAGAAATCCTTGGACCATTCTCAAAATTCTACTCAGTTTCCCATGATGTGCACTCTAATCCCTTTCCTTGTTTGACAACCAATAAGTTCTTTGACAACCAGAGAAGTTCTTTGTCTCAGCCCCCAGAGAATCTCAAATTCTGCTGGAGGGTTTTCATCTTCCTGGAGCCCCAAAACCATACTACTTTGTCTCTTATTTAAGCCTTCACTTCCACTCATCTGGGAGGTTTTGGGTGTGATCAGTCCATGATAGGGAAGGAGTCCCTCTTTTGTTTTTATAATTGAATTTTGAGTGTACAGTGAACGTGTTCAATAATTCCTTGACCTTGAGGGTTATAAGGAATTCCCATGGTAAGGGAAATATGAAAAGTTTTACAAAATGTTTGAAAGGCATCGCTCTTATAGACTGGGACACTGTCAGTCTTAAGTGCAGAAGAAAAACCCGGGTCCTGTATTTAGGAGCCTGAGGCTCCCACTTGTGCTCCCACAGCTGGCTGTGTCCCCCACCTGACTGTTGGGGCAGCCACAACCTCCCCCCACCCCACTTGTGACTTGATTTTAAAATAGTTCTCTGAGCCAAATCTTCTGCAGTCAAGTCAACAAGGATGTGACCATTAAGATACCTCCTAGTTCAAGTCCCCAAAAAAAGTAAGTACAGAAATCCATAACAGAACAAGTATTTATGTAGACATTTGTTGTTCTTGAGAGCTTACTCATATTTAATACCTGATAAAAGCAATACACCTCTCTCCCGCTTGTTTCTCCTGAACCTGTTTCGCTCTTTTAGCTCTAATGAGCATGTTTTTCTCTTTGACCCTAGTGAGCTCATTTCTCTGTATGGCCCTAGTGAGCCCATTTCCAAATAGGCTTCTCCAGCCTATTTCTCTGGCTTTTCTGGAACCTATTTCTCCCATGGATTCTCTACAAAAAGAAAGTAAATACAAGAATCATACAATAAGCATTTCTATATATCTCTCTATATATCATTTCTATATACATGTTCTTTGTCTCATATTTTAGGCCTGATGATATCAATATCAGTACACCTCTGTGATCAATACTGATGCTATCATTGCACTTCTCTCCCTTTTGTGGGCACAATGAGAAGTGTCCCTTCACCTATTTCTTCTTACCCCAGTTATGTGTTTAGGTGCCAATATTGCTGCATCCCGAGTAGCTCTTAAAGTCCCCAGGGGGAAGGATGTTGAGAGGATGGAGAAATAAAGATGAGCCAATATACAGATAACTGAGGTCAGGTGGAGCCCTCTTTCCAGATGGGAGGAAAGAAACTGCTCAACCTCTGCTGTTGGGAGCCGCAGCCCCGAGCCCGGTCGCCTCACTTGGCGGACGTGAGGCCTGTAGTAAAGAGTAAAGCCTGAGGTAGATTACCCCTCCCATCGAGCACGTTAGTTTCCTGCTTACCGCGTAAGCAACCCGCTCAACAATATAGTCTGCCTGGCAACTGATGATGTTAGCCAATCAGCTTGCCTTGCTTACTTTAACATGATTGGACACTGTATCCGTATATATACTGGTGCCACCCCTGGGGGGGAAGAAGAAGCCCGGAAGTAGAAGCCCAGAAGGAGCCGCGGGGAGCGGACCAAAGGAGGCTTCGGCTGGGAGCGATCCCAGGGCAGGCTGTACGGAGAAGGAAAATAAAAGAAAAGGTTGTCCACTGCCAGACTTTGTCGTGTGTCCTTCCTGCCGGCCGGGAGCGACATCGACATTTGGAGGCCCGCATGGGGACTGATCACCCCCGAGACGTGACAGCGGACAACGCTCCAGTACAGAGCTGCGAGACAGGTGAGTTGGGGATAAGCCTGGGCTCTGGGTGGCGCGCACCTACAGGGCTTTTAGACTCCCCTCAGGCTCACGCGTAAGTGGCGGATTCCTTGGGCCTCACGCGGTGAGTAACATATTAAAAGATGGGAAACATGCTAGGTAGCAACACTAAGAGCGAGGGTGGTTGTGGAGAAAGCTCTCAAGAGCTTACAAAAGTACGCAGGGTATTTGAGCAGGCCCAGTCGGGGAGCTCCCGAGAGGGGCCCGTCAAGGGGAACAAAGATGCTAAGGAGAAGGACGGGGCTCTAGCCTCGGAGTCGTCTGACTCCGAGGACGAGGGAAAGTTGAATGGCAAGGAGGCCAAAGAGACCAGCTGTCAGGAGCCTAAGTCGCTCGATAAGGAGTCGCAGGGTTCTTTCCCAGCGTTGCGCCGTGAATTGCGCTCCGCTCAACTTGGTCTGCGGAGGAGTAGGGAGCTCCTGAGCGCTCCCCGGCGTGAGAGGGAGGCGAAGCCTTCCGCCCCACCTTGGGGGCTGTTCCCGGAGGCGATCCCTCGCCGCGAGGCGGCCGCCCGGGAGCTCCCTTCCCCTTCGCCAGAACAGGAAGTGATGCACGGGCCCCCATTTTCCGCCCAATCATGGCCGCTGTCTTATGCTCCGCCGCCGGCGGGTCGGTATTTTTACAGGCGGCTTTGGCAGGGGGGACGTTTGTCTCATGAGGTACATCCACCACCTGGGATAGATAGTGGCCCCTACGGGATATTTCCTGTACAAGTAGCTATGGGCCAGGGACGTAATGCATGGGAGCCTTTTGAGATAAAGCAGATTAGAGAACTTAAAAATACAGTTACAACCTTTGGGCCGACTGCGCCTTACACCATTGCCATGCTGGAGAACCTGTCTTCTGGGCCCCTCACCCCCGCGGACTGGATTCAGCTGGCAAAGGCGTGTCTGCCCTCGGGTAGTTACCTGGATTGGCGAGCCTGGTACGCAGAGTTCTCTGCAGAGCAGGCTGAGAGAAACGCCAGTCGGGGAAACCGGGGGTGGAACAAGGAAATGCTTATGGGAGAAGGTCGGCACGCTGATGATCAGACTCAGTTCCCCGGCGCTGTCTATGAACAAATCAACGCCATAGGGCTCCGCGCCTGGAAGCAGGTAAGTGGTGCCGGAACAGCCTCCTTGTGTCTTTCAAAAATAATTCAGGGTACCACAGAGCCATTTGTTGACTTTGTGGCCCGAATGCAAGATGCTGCCGATAAGATATTTTCTGATCCGGGAGTGGCTCGACCGCTGGTAAGGCAGCTGATTTTTGAGCAATGTACAAAGGAGTGCAAGGCAGCGATAGCTCCTCATAAGAACAAGGACCTCAACGCCTGGATTAGGATATGTAGAGAGATAGGGGGGCCGCTCTCCAACTCGGGAGTGGCTGCTCTCCTGGTCGCGGCTGTACAGCAGAGGGGACCTCGCGGGTTAGAAGGGGAATGTAAGGCTAAAGGGTGTTTTGCCTGCGGGGAGCCAGGACACATTAAACGTCATTGCCCAAACAATGCAGATGCTAGGCCTCGCCCTAGGAATGAAGAACCATATGTTTGTGGGCGATGCAAGAGGGGATCACACAAAGCTGAGGAGTGTAGGTCGGTCTTTGATGCTCAGGGCAACCGTATTTGTGGACGAGATGCTAGAGGGCCAAAAAACGGCCAGAGGGGGCCCCCTTCACAGGCGGGCCCCCGCCCCAGAGACAGGACAGCTCAGGATGGCAGCCTTCAACAAGGGCCACCCCTGGGTCAGCAGGTGTGGACCTCAGTGTCGCCTCCAGACTTATATTAGTGCCTGATATGGGTGTTCAAGTGGTTGAAACCACCTT